ATAAAATCACAAAAATAATTACGATTTTGCAATGTATCTATGAAACATTCCAGATTCTTTTAATTCTTATTTTTATTATTCAATTCTTGTATCTAAATTTAATTTTCTACCTTCTTTTAATCCATTAGTATTTTATAAAAATTTAGTTTTCTTCCATTATGATGACATTTATTAATATCTGGCAACAGGATCAGATCTTTTTGGTAAAGTATTAAATGATTTTTATTTATAATTATATTTTTTTTGCATTTATTCACTTTAATGAATACTAGAAGTATAAATAGGTTTATAAGATGAAGTAGTAGAAGTAGAAGGTCTATTTTATAGTTTGCTAATATTTTTTAATTAATTTGTAGTTTCAATCAATACTTTATGATTAGTTAAATTAGATAGAGCTTTCTTATTTTCAATTTAGTTTCTTTATGGTAATTTAAATTTAATTCCAGTTTTTTATAATTTGTCATTGTTTTCTAATTCTAATTCTTCTTCTTCATCATTTTCATTATCATTATCATTTTCTTGATTATCTTCATATATGTTTTATTTGTTATTAGCAAATTAAATGGCTTCAAAATCTTATTTATCATAATCTTAATATTCATCATCTGGAATAGATGAGATTTCTTCATCACTACTATAATTTTACATTGTAATTATATTACTAACAGTTAATATTTAAATTTTAATATATACAATTGTTTTTATTTTATAATATAAAGAGAGAATTTGTAAACTATTTATATTAATTAATAAAAAGATTGAATGATTTGTAATGAATCTCAAAGATTTATTATAAATTTGTAATTCTTTAATAAATGATTGTAATGTAAAATTTTATAAGGGGGTGGTATGAAAGGAATATATTAACAGAGGATTAATTAGAGTTAATTCAAAGGATTTTTTTAAATATAAAATCTTGTGTGAAAATGAATAGTAATACATAAATGAGATAAGAAGGAATAATGGAATGTTCAGGTAATATTGAGAATGAAAACTCAATAATCTATGATGAACCACATTATTCAGCTGATGATGAATAAGTATAATGTTATAATAATATAATGTTGTAGTAATGTGAAGAATTTGAAAACGAAGTTGAAGTTCCTGTTTACACTCCTTAATAATTGTCTTCTTATAAGAAACCATGTCCAATATTTTAAGATGAATTTATATTGGATGAAGATCCTAAAAAGAAAGTATGCCTAGAAGAATGTACAACAACAGAACAATCTGAGGATCATCCAGCTTTAGGAGATTTAGAAATGTTAGCTGCTATGCTTTTAAAAGAAAATTAGAAAAAGTTTTCATATCCTAAGGATTTACCTGTTCCAACTAATGTAGAGTAACATCTAGAGGAATTGAAAATGAGATTCAATCCATCTCAAAAATAAGAGGATTTCATTTCTACATATGTTAAGAGTGATGATTTACTTAGAATTAAGGTAGGATTATGTGAGGAAATACTGAATGATGAAGAAACATAGAAATTTGAAGATTGGGTTGAATAATTATGTACATCAACTAATCATGAATCATTAAAAGAGATGGCAAGGAAATAGAAAGTTAAGAGATATTTAGAAAAAAAGCATAGTAGAACTTATGAAAAGAAAGTTCATTATCATATTAGATAAAAGGTTGCTGAAGAAAGACTAAGAGTTAAAGGTAGATTTGTAACATGGACATAAGTAATATTTATAATATATATAATATTAGGCTTTGAAAATGTTAAATGAATAATAAGATTCCAAAAAGTCATGGACATATAATGATTATTTTAAAATCAAAAATTTACTAAATGAAAAATTTGGAGCCATCAAAAGTGAAAGATCCTTAAAAATTTGATTTTAAACATAATCACTTGTGTATTTATAATAAATAATTAATTTATCTATTAATCATAATTCAATATGTTCATTCTCTTAATCTAATTCATGATTATTCCAATTACTATTTTAATGAATTTCAACCATTTCTTCATCATATTTTATTTGCTCCTTTTAATTATTATTATTTTATTGTGGAATAGAGTTTTAGAAATTTAAGGTAGGTTTCAACTTTTCAAAAGGATTCTCTTATTCTATTAAATGCTATATAAAATTTAATTATTACATGATCTCCATCTTAATCTTCTAAATCTCCATAATCTTATTATAATGATTATTTCTTCAATTATTATTCATCTTTATTTGCTTATTAATATAAAGTTGAAATCTATCCTGATTGTTCAATAGGATCTTATTGTAAAAATTAAAAACATTGTCTTGCAGACTATTAACAGAATTCATAAAGTAATGCTAATTTTCTTAATAACATTTAAAAATTAAATTTATAAAACAAAATACATACATAAATACAATATCAAAATTATCAATAAAGCTAAACACTTTAGTTTTATTATCTTACAAATTTATATACTTATAATTAAACATCTTCTTTGTTCTTTTTTTTTTTAAATAATTTAGGAAGTTTTAAACTCTAAATCAAACATACTCTTGAATCAATGTTTTAACTTGGTGTTTTTGAGTGATAAGTTTATTATTAATGTTATAATTATTATTATAGAATCTTTGCTTTTCTACTTTATTGAATCTCAATTAATGGACATTCAAAAGTGAGTTCTAGTTTCTTTTCCTTTGAATGAGATGAGATAAATTCATAATAATTTTAAATATTAGAAGGTTAATGTTATATCTTGCCTAAAATTTCTTAAACAGCTTTTTGAGATTTCCTCTCTGTATTTTTTTAAGAATGATTTATTTTATGAGATGATTAACCATTTTATTATGTTTTATTTACTAATGCAAATTTTTCATCTTCATCCTATGTTTTAATTAAATAATTAGGTGATTAAGTCAAAAAATCAAATCCACTTGAATGTTGATATGAATTACCTAAAAATATTTCCTTAGAAATTCTCTTATTTTCATCTAACTTTTCAATCATTTTATTCAATTCAGTCAATGTTGATCCATTACAACAATATAATTTAAATCTCTAAATTTAATATTAAATTAATACATCTGCTGGTAAGAATAACATTTTAGATTTTTCAGTTAAACAAACAGCTTTTGATTAACGAAATTCTTAATTAGATACTATTTCTAAATATCCAAATAATTATCCATATCCACATCTATTTAATTTTAATTGTATATTCTTTTGACCTTGAATAGAATTTACATACATTACTATATGATCTCTATAATTTTCGACCATATTGTTAATCAAAATGAAATTCATTTTTTGCATTTTAAGTAATTTCTATTTATCCTTCTAATACAAAATAAACACCTCTATATATAATATATATAGATTATTTTACTTCACAAATTCTCCTTCTTTATATATTAAAGTATCATAACAATATTCTAAAGGTTAAAGATGATATTGCATTTAACTTAATTCTGCATCATTCCAACCTTTAAATATCTGAATGGATTTAAGAAACTCAAAATTCTTTTATTGGATTCTATTATAATATTCAGCTATATTATTATAATTAAATAGTCTGTACATAGAAATTTATTAAAGGCTTCTCTTGATAATGTAATGAATTAGGAATTCTCTTTGCAAACAATAGTAGCTTGTCTTGGGATAAAGTTAGTAAGAGCTATTTCACCAAAAGAGCCACCTGCTGCTATTTAACCTACTTTCATTAAATTTGGATATTTCTAAGTTAACATACTCTCATCATCCAATTCCATGAATTCAAATTCGTCCTTAATTGAATTTATATTTTATATACTTAAAAGGTTCCTTCATCTATTTCTATTTTATCGTTATTGTTCTCATCTTTTTTTGTGAATGTACCACTCTATAAACCTGATTTAGCAACCAAGACCTAAAATGATGAAGGTTTTAAATACCCAAACTGAACCACTCAAAATTATATAAAAATTCTTTCCTATATCTCCCAAGCGAAATAAAGTTCTTCTGGCAGGTACTTCAATATATTGTAATTCCTTTATTAAGTAATATTGATACTCTAAATAAATTTAGCATTTCATCCTAACTGGTTGTCTTGCTCATCTCTTAAAAATATTTAATTGATGAGAATGCCATGGCTAATAATTATAAATCGTTGCCATTTCTTAACTTTTTTGATTTCTCCAGAACTCCAACAATAACCTTATGATTGATCTTATTATACTTAAAAATGTTCTTTATCTTATAGATCTACATATTCCTTTGATAATATTTCTTTAACTTAATGTTAAAGATGAAGTTACTATTTTAATTTTTCAATGTTTGATAATTAATGAGTCATTATTATTTTTTATTTTATTATATTATTCTTAATATTAAAATCATTTTAAGTTGAAAAATTGCTGTTTTTATATTTAAACATAAACTATTCTTCATTTACTACAACATAGATATTATTAGATGCAATTTTAGATAGAATATTTTAATATTAAGATTATTGATAGAATATAAAGTCTTATCAAATTCATGATTCTTTATTTTTTCATAGAATTTATGCTTTAATTATAAATAAATATATATATATAAATTCAAAATGATTTAAAAGGAGAATCAAACATTCAAATATCCATCAATTAACTATTTTAATCCTAATTCTTCATTTAGAAGATATGTAAAAGATGAAACTTAAATATAATGTATCATAGAACTTAAAATGGAGGATTACCAACGTTCATCTATTTCAACTGAAGGATCATTTGACTATTCATAATCTTTAAAAATTAATAAAAAGTCTAAAATTCATAAACAAAAAGATAAATAATTACCACAAAAATCAGAAACAAAGAACATACCTAAAAATTTTGGAGTATTATTGAAAAAATATTTATGTACTCATTAAACTTATTTTATTAGGTAGTAAAAATGTAGATAATTAAGCAATTAAAGCATTCTTAAAGAATGGAGAAAACAAAAAGAATTTCTCTAGATAGGATTTCACTCGTCTTTTTAATGATCCTCTTGCTGCAGACTTATCTAGAGAGTATTTCTCAGGTTTTTAAATTATACATGATCTTATGATAAGTGAAAAAATATAGGATGTTAAAAATCATCTTAAATATATAAGTAAATTTTATAATTCCACTTATAATAAATAAGAGCTTGATGAACTTAAATTATAATGAATTTATTTAAATTTTTTTATAGTTTATTAAGTATCAAAATATTCTATTTTTAATTAAATATAATTAATATTCCCATCATCTAATATGTTATAATCACTATATCTACATACACTATTACTCAAAGATTCACAAATTTATAAAGTTGACTATTTTTATTTTAGAATTAATCAGAATTTTAGATGATTTCTATTGATAAATATTTTAATCACATTATTAAAAATATGAATAATATGATTGTTGATAATTTTAAAGAAAGAAGAGAAATTAAAATTGAGAATGATGCAAATATCAAAAATAAGATCTTCAAATAAGCTAAAAGACAAGTTTCAGGATATTCTATCACTTACTAATATCAAAATCAAACTTTTAATTAATAATAAAGACAATCATAGTTGGAGAGCTAAATTAGAAGATAATACAGAAATATATCAAATAGAAGATATGCTTGCAAATTTCACACTTTCAGTTATAAAAAAGCTGAATTAATTATGGATTATGATTTTTCAATCTAATGATTTTGTATAAACTATGTCTTTTATGGATTATTGTTTTAATTAATTAAATTTAATAAACACTAAATATCATCATTGAATTTAACTTCTTAAATGATGTTATAAATCTAATTGATATGATATATCATTTAAAGCTTCATAACTGTTTGTAACTTACTTAATTAAACCTATATTAATTTTCATTTATTTTTATTTTAATGTTAAATTTTTAGAAAGCTCTGATACTAATTATCAATTTCTTATAGTCTATCTTAAATAATTTATTTATCTTGTTTAATCATAAATAAACTATCAAAAAGCATTATTATTTTAATCAATTAATTTTTAGTTTAATAATCTTCCAATTAGGATACTTCATGAATAATTCATTGTTCTTATTTGATTCCAATATATATTGGATATTCTTAATTATTTTGGATACAATCTGTGAACTATTAAGCTGTTTTGATGAATTCCTCAAGTTATAGAATTCTTTTTAACATCAATTAAGTTTTCTTACTACCATAAAAATGATTTGTTTCATGCTAACTTGAATGATTAGATATGAAATTTAACTTGAACATTATAGAGATTCTGTTAACAATTAACATCCTACATATTCTAAATGAAAATATGAGAATGAATTGAAAAAATTATTTTAACATATATTTATAAAATTATTTAAATAGATGATTATTAAATTATTATAATATCACTAATTAAAGTAGTTTCTAAAATGATAATTTAATCTAAATAAATTCCTAATCAAGAACTTTTTTACATTAAATCCATCTTACAAATTTGACTTCCTCTTTTTTATATCAAATGATCTTTTATTATTTATGTGAATATAAATATTTACTGTATTAATGAAGCAAAATAAGGTTAATAAAATAGATTTTGAACTGTTGTAGAAAATTTAAATAAATGAATCAAATGTTAATTTATCATGGGTGTTAAAATTTCCGAATTATCATGAATTACAATCCTTTATTTTTTAGATGCCATTCATTGATCTTAAAATTTTATAATCGAAGTACGATATATAGGGACCATGTCATATTATTACAAATAATCAAATATAATTCCCTTTATTACAAATTGCAGAAGGAATACTTATATTTTAGAAATACAAATGTCTATTTTTAAGTGATTGTATTATAGAAAAATAAAAGTTTGTTTGTCATTAAAGCTAACTATTTTTAATTAAAATCTCTCATAATCAAGGTCGCCTCGTACTAATATTTGTTCATCCTGTATCATAGAGGGAATGGTTTAAGATACTAAAACTATCGGGAAAATAAAATAACTTTCTTTAAAAATATCGTATCAATGAAGTCATAATGTCAAATATTTTTTCAGTTCTCTTAAAAAGAAAGAATAAAAAATATGTAGCATAAATATATAAAAAAAATGATATTAAATCAAAAGAATAGAATGAGATCATTAATAATTATATTAAAATTCTCAAAAGTGGAAAAATTATAAACTATTACCCAGTACTAAGTATTTTTGAAGATACTGAAACAATTTCGATTATTACTTATTAATTTATAGGTAAAACTTTTGAATCTTTGTTATTAAGTGAATAAACATCTATTACACAAATGAACTTAGCCTTCATTATTTGCTCTGTTCTGTAATGTTTAAAATGTCTTTAAGATGAAGAATTATTTCATGGTTACATTTGTCTAGAGAATATCATTATGGCTAATATTTTAGGATCACTGTAAATTTACTTAATTAACTCAAACTATAAGGTAATTAATCAAACTATTTTATAGCCTTACAACATAAATAATTTGAACTTTTATTTGAATTCCATTCCAAATTATTTGATTGCTCCTGAAATTCTTTCTTTATAAGATTAACCCTCTGTCAAATCAGATATCTATTAATTAGGAATGATATTTCTAATAGTAAGCTTTTTTGCTAAGGGATAAAGTTATAACAGATAATATATATCAAAGATATTCTAAAGTAGAGTAGAACTTATCAAATAGCAAGAAATTAATTTTTAATAAAATAAAAATTCTGATTTTCCTTATCTTTTCAGTGCTTGCTAATTAGACTTAATTAAGAAAATGACTGAGAATGATCCTAATAAAAGGATTTCTGTGAATGATGCGCTTAAACATGCTTGGTTTATTAATACGAAAGATAAACTAAAGTCATCAAAGCAATAATCTATAAATCGTAATCTCCCTAGTTTAAAGACAATTATTGAAATGGTTGAATAAAGTGAATATGATATAAGAAGAAAATCATCAAAACTCAGTATTATTTAATAAGGCAAAAATATATTAGAATGTGCCACATCTTTATAATAATTTGATTTTAATGCTTTCCAATAATAATAAGATGCGAATTATGTAGTAGTGAAATCTTTGGAAAGCCAAAATGAAATTATAGATGAGGACCACGAAATAAGTAATTTAATTTTCAAACTTAATGATAAACAATTTAGAATGATGCCTTCCTTATTAAGCCACTTCATCTAAGATAAAAATTAGGACAGACTAACTTATCCTAATAATCATTTAACACAATTTTAAGACTGATTAATTAATATGTATATTTCTTTATTATTTTAATTATTAAAATAGTTAAATATGACAGAATATGATTAGCAATTGATAAATTAATTAAATTTATAAAAATTACATATTATTATTACCGGGGTGTTTATTGAAGTCTTTCATAATATATAAGTTATCATGCCTCAATGTCAGAAATTTTTATATAAATATTTATACCCAATTGAGATATGAAGGGACTGCACTAGGAATCATTTAATTTTCCTTCCTCTTCTCACATCTCCGACGACTACATAAAATCAAGTGACACATTGGAAACCTTTAGTAATTCTTTATTCAACAATGAATTAGAATGTAATTCGACACCAAAAGTAATATATTGTATTCTATCATAGGCTAAAAAATATTCGACTATCCCCATCAAAAAGAAAATCAATAAAGAATTAGAATTTAATATTAAACATAATAGTGGTCATTGGACACCTGAAGAACATTAGATATATGAAGAATTTCTTGAAAAACATCATGCAACAACAATGTAAAATTAATAAAATAGAAAAAATAATAAAATCTTTAAATTGATGTCTGAAATAATTGGAACACGTTCCCCTTCTTAATGCAGGTACTATAAAACATATTTTATATAAATAGGTCTCATCATTAAAAATTTAATCCTTGCACACCGGCTGGTTAGAAAAGAATAAAGAAAAATAAAAAAAAATTAAGTATCAAAAAAAATTATAATATTAGATATTGACACTTAAATTTCTTTGCATAATACAAGTTAATTTTTACAGTATTTCACTCCAGAACTACGACCTAATCAAGGTTTTAATCATAATTGACCTTAGAACTTCTTCCAAGCATTTAAGATCAAGATGAATATTAAGAATATCTTTGTGATGAATCCCAAAGACTCAGAATTCGAAGATATTCACTTGATAATCTTGAAGATAGTTACCATTTCAATATTCCTCATAACAATTAATTTTTTAATGAATTTTGTTATGATTGATAATACCAATCGATTTATTTATTGTAATACAATATAAAATTTTAATAAAGTATTTCCCAACAAAACGGATATATGTATAAATCTCTTAAAAGAAAAACATTAAAAAAAGAATTATAAATAAACAAATTTTCACAATAATTAATAACAAACTTAATTTAACTTTGTTATAAAGAAATTGAAATATCCATCCACTAAGTACTGAATCTAATATTTATATTATTTTAATTGTTAATACTTATTTAATTTAGTTTGAATTATTTTTATTTTGAAAATGTTATTATATTANCTTTGGAAAGCCAAAATGAAATTATAGATGAGGACCACGAAATAAGTAATTTAATTTTCAAACTTAATGATAAACAATTTAGAATGATGCCTTCCTTATTAAGCCACTTCATCTAAGATAAAAATTAGGACAGACTAACTTATCCTAATAATCATTTAACACAATTTTAAGACTGATTAATTAATATGTATATTTCTTTATTATTTTAATTATTAAAATAGTTAAATATGACAGAATATGATTAGCAATTGATAAATTAATTAAATTTATAAAAATTACATATTATTATTACCGGGGTGTTTATTGAAGTCTTTCATAATATATAAGTTATCATGCCTCAATGTCAGAAATTTTTATATAAATATTTATACCCAATTGAGATATGAAGGGACTGCACTAGGAATCATTTAATTTTCCTTCCTCTTCTCACATCTCCGACGACTACATAAAATCAAGTGACACATTGGAAACCTTTAGTAATTCTTTATTCAACAATGAATTAGAATGTAATTCGACACCAAAAGTAATATATTGTATTCTATCATAGGCTAAAAAATATTCGACTATCCCCATCAAAAAGAAAATCAATAAAGAATTAGAATTTAATATTAAACATAATAGTGGTCATTGGACACCTGAAGAACATTAGATATATGAAGAATTTCTTGAAAAACATCATGCAACAACAATGTAAAATTAATAAAATAGAAAAAATAATAAAATCTTTAAATTGATGTCTGAAATAATTGGAACACGTTCCCCTTCTTAATGCAGATAAAACATATTTTATATAAATAGGTCTCATCATTAAAAATTTAATCCTTGCACACCGGCTGGTTAGAAAAGAATAAAGAAAAATAAAAAAAAATTAAGTATCAAAAAAAATTATAATATTAGATATTGACACTTAAATTTCTTTGCATAATACAAGTTAATTTTTACAGTATTTCACTCCAGAACTACGACCTAATCAAGGTTTTAATCATAATTGACCTTAGAACTTCTTCCAAGCATTTAAGATCAAGATGAATATTAAGAATATCTTTGTGATGAATCCCAAAGACTCAGAATTCGAAGATATTCACTTGATAATCTTGAAGATAGTTACCATTTCAATATTCCTCATAACAATTAATTTTTTAATGAATTTTGTTATGATTGATAATACCAATCGATTTATTTATTGTAATACAATATAAAATTTTAATAAAGTATTTCCCAACAAAACGGATATATGTATAAATCTCTTAAAAGAAAAACATTAAAAAAAGAATTATAAATAAACAAATTTTCACAATAATTAATAACAAACTTAATTTAACTTTGTTATAAAGAAATTGAAATATCCATCCACTAAGTACTGAATCTAATATTTATATTATTTTAATTGTTAATACTTATTTAATTTAGTTTGAATTATTTTTATTTTGAAAATGTTATTATATTATACTTATTTTAAATACTTTATAATTATCATTATTTTATCAATTAAAATCTATTTTATTTACATATTTGCTAACTCTTATTATACTTATTTTAAATTTTTTATTAATATCATAACATTATCGATTAAAATCTATTAATTATTATATTTGATAATTCTTATTATACTTATTTAAAATATTTTATTAATATCATATTGTTCAATATTAAAATCTACATATTATCATAACTCATAACTCTTATTTTATTTAATTTTAATATTTTAGTTAATTCTTCTTTTTACTAATTAAATCAATTTTTTTTTGGTATTTATAAACTTTATTTTTTTTAGTTTAGATGTTTTATAATATTAACATATAAAATAATTGAATATCAAATTACAAATTTAAAGAACAGAATGAGTAATATATAATGAAGATCTAAATTATTTTCATTAATTTATCATAATCTATAGCTAGGTATGAAATAAACTAAAATTCATATAATCATGTAAATCGTGAGAGATAATTGTCAGATTAAATGAGTAGTGAAAACTGAAAATTACTTGATATTGATTAAAGTCAAATTAATAATGGTATTTTTAAGAAGATCGAAATTAAAATGTATTTTGGAGTTTACCAGCATTTCGGATATTTTGAATTGTGACTGAAAGTTGTTTCATAAAAAAAAAGAAGATAGTAATGCTCTTTTTTATACGATATTCATTTTTAGCTATTGGTGTTAATTTTTCTCCTCATGTTGTGGTTGGGAAAATCCATTTCCCCTTAATCTAGCTTGGGTAGTTTGTTTAATAGATGATTAAAGAAGCAATTAAGTATTATGAAACTTAAAGGTTTATCCTAATTCTTGATTATTGTCCAATTCGTCATAGCAAGCTTTAAAAAAACTGTATTTTGACTAAATATATGTTTTTTTTTTACCAGAATGGAATCCTATACATTACTTTTCAAAGCAAAATAGAAGTTAAATAATTTATAAACTTTTTTAAATTATAAAAAGAGCTATGAATGTAATTAAAAATAATTGAAATATAGAATTAGAAATATAGATTTATATGTAACTATAAAAAAATACTTTGAGAATATTTAACTAATATCATTTATCAAAATATTTAAACTAAATCAATTAAAAGTTACAAATTATAAATAATTATTGATATAACTATTATAATTTAGCAAAATATTTAAATAAATCATTGATAATTTAAACAAAATCATTTGAATATATAATTAATTGAAATTAAATTATTTTTTTTTATTTTATTAATGAATAATTGTAAAATAATTCATTTCTTGATCCTTCAAAAGTATAAATATTAATTCAAACAATTAAAAAAAATAAAAATCTTAGATTAACCAAATTTTATTTGATTCTAAAATACATATCCAATTAATTATTATTATAAATTTTATTCTCCCAGAATTATTTTATAATTTATAATCAGATTGAATATTAAATTGTATTTATTTATAATATTCATATATTTTTATTTTTGTTAATTTTTTCTTTTTGAATTACTTTAAATTCTTATTATTTATTAATAATATTGTGATAAATTATTTTATCCTACAGATGGCCACAAGGGCTTTTAATTAAATTGCATAATTATAAATTAAGAGAAGAGCAATAATATATTAATCATTCCTTTTTTAATTGATTTATCATTTGAAATAAGATATCATAAGGATAGAATTCAAACCTTTTATCATTCATTTATATTAAAAAATAGATTGTTGTTTTTAACTTTTTATTATAATAACATATATACTGAAATATGAAATCAGAGAGAAGAATATTTACTTTGTATTTAAGTAGTTTTACTATATTCTTAATTTGATTTATCAGAACTAAACTATCGTGAATGATTAAGAATAGGATATTATTAAGGGATTTCTTTCATTAAATCTCTTCTGCTATTTCTTAATTTTCGTTTATAGTTTTTAACTGCTTAATTGCTAGTTATAATTTATGAGATTGAATTGACGGATATATTCGGCTTTTTTGTTTATTTTTACTGTTATTTCATTTACCTTTATTAATATTTGAGGGTTGATTAATAATATTTTTCCATTAGGATTAATGAAATAGTATTGGAAGAATCGTTGTTATTTGTTAGAGGTCTTTCTCTAGATATTTTTATTATCGGAACATCTAATAATTTAGCTTCTTAGATGCTTAATCTACTTTTTATGGATTCGATTGTTTATCTTGAGAACATATCATTAGTAGGTTTGAATGTTTATTCTTTATTTGATATTCGGTACTGTGAATAATTTGTAGGTTATTTACTATTTGAATGTATCTACAATTTTTGAGTTTTGCTTCTCTATTTAGATCTTAACCTTTCTCTTTATAATTAAGAAAGTTGAGGTATTTTTTCTAAATCAAAAATTTTCATCTTCTCTTTAAGGATGTCTAAGGCTCTGCTTCCATATAATTCATCACCTTCTGTTTTACAATATGATTAATTTAATATCGAAGAATTATTCATATTATAAATTAAATTGTATTCAACGCAAACATTTAATAATAATTTAATTAGAGAGTCTGTGTTTGAGTGAATTCAAAATTCTACAAGAAATAAAAATAAATATATATATATAAATTTTCATGTCTCAATAATAGCAGAATTTATCAAGTTTTTTAGAACATAATTTGGATCCCATAACAAGTAGATATATAATGGGTAAGTACTTAATGATGGATGGAGGAGAGCAATCTCTAGATTTAAGACATATGTGTGATAATGTAAAATTGGAAATGCAATTAATCGAAAAAGAAGCTGCATATGACTATTTAAAAGTATCTATTAGGGCAATAAAATAAGGTTGAAAAAGAGATGTATGAATTGGATAATGAAATTGAGAAGAGTGATGCAATTTTAGGAGAATTAGAGAATGTTTTACTTAATTTCAAGGATTATTTGAATGATATTAAATCTGAGATGACATAATTGCAAGAGAGAAGTGTCAAAATGAATACATCTTTAACAAATAGAAAAGCATTATCATAGATATTATCTAGTTTTGTTGATTAAGCTGTATTAGATCCATCTTTAATTGATAATATATNATATTAAAAAATAGATTGTTGTTTTTAACTTTTTATTATAATAACATATATACTGAAATATGAAATCAGAGAGAAGAATATTTACTTTGTATTTAAGTAGTTTTACTATATTCTTAATTTGATTTATCAGAACTAAACTATCGTGAATGATTAAGAATAGGATATTATTAAGGGATTTCTTTCATTAAATCTCTTCTGCTATTTCTTAATTTTCGTTTATAGTTTTTAACTGCTTAATTGCTAGTTATAATTTATGAGATTGAATTGACGGATATATTCGGCTTTTTTGTTTATTTTTACTGTTATTTCATTTACCTTTATTAATATTTGAGGGTTGATTAATAATATTTTTCCATTAGGATTAATGAAATAGTATTGGAAGAATCGTTGTTATTTGTTAGAGGTCTTTCTCTAGATATTTTTATTATCGGAACATCTAATAATTTAGCTTCTTAGATGCTTAATCTACTTTTTATGGATTCGATTGTTTATCTTGAGAACATATCATTAGTAGGTTTGAATGTTTATTCTTTATTTGATATTCGGTACTGTGAATAATTTGTAGGTTATTTACTATTTGAATGTATCTACAATTTTTGAGTTTTGCTTCTCTATTTAGATCTTAACCTTTCTCTTTATAATTAAGAAAGTTGAGGTATTTTTTCTAAATCAAAAATTTTCATCTTCTCTTTAAGGATGTCTAAGGCTCTGCTTCCATATAATTCATCACCTTCTGTTTTACAATATGATTAATTTAATATCGAAGAATTATTCATATTATAAATTAAATTGTATTCAACGCAAACATTTAATAATAATTTAATTAGAGAGTCTGTGTTTGAGTGAATTCAAAATTCTACAAGAAATAAAAATAAATATATATATATAAATTTTCATGTCTCAATAATAGCAGAATTTATCAAGTTTTTTAGAACATAATTTGGATCCCATAACAAGTAGATATATAATGGGTAAGTACTTAATGATGGATGGAGGAGAGCAATCTCTAGATTTAAGACATATGTGTGATAATGTAAAATTGGAAATGCAATTAATCGAAAAAGAAGCTGCATATGACTATTTAAAAGTATCTATTAGGGCAATAAAATAAGGTTGAAAAAGAGATGTATGAATTGGATAATGAAATTGAGAAGAGTGATGCAATTTTAGGAGAATTAGAGAATGTTTTACTTAATTTCAAGGATTATTTGAATGATATTAAATCTGAGATGACATAATTGCAAGAGAGAAGTGTCAAAATGAATACATCTTTAACAAATAGAAAAGCATTATCATAGATATTATCTAGTTTTGTTGATTAAGCTGTATTAGATCCATCTTTAATTGATAATATATGCAGTAAAGAGATTAATGATTAATATGTGGAATATATCAGAATTTTATGCTCAAAATTAGAATATCTGAAAAACACTGAATTAACTGATGCTAATGCTGTAAAGAATCTAGGACCAGAATTAATTAAGTTAAAAAATACAGCCTGCAAAAGAGTAAGAGAATTTATGATAGATAAATTAAATCAATTAAAGAAACCAAAAATCAACATTCAATAATATTAAATTTAGGAATTGGTTAAGTATAAGATATTCACCGAATTCATGAAAGATCATTATTTAGATATTTATGTAGAGTTATGTAATCTTTATACAGATGCAATGAGTAAATTGTATTTAAGTAATATGAAAATATATGTTGCTGAAATACATAAATTAACAATTGATGTTTATTTACGCAATGATCTCATTGTACCCGATAGTCAATAGAATTACAGGCCTTAGTTGAATTTAAGAAATGTTGTAGGATTAACTATTGAGAATAGATCAATATTTTAATTAATGAATCGTGATTAAATACTATAATTTATGGATGAAGAACCTTTATTGCATACTTAATTGAATTAGAAAAATTAGAAAATTCTCATTGAATAATATTTTAAAACCATTAATAAAGTATTGATTGATACTGTGTTGCACGAAGATAGATTTAGTCAAGATTTCTTTAGTTTGAAACCTGATTAAAATAGACTTATTTTTAGTGGTGTTTTTAAGAATACTATTCAATTTGTATTAGATCATTTGAAATAGACTGTAAGCATATTTGACATATATGCATTTTTGTTAATAATATTATTAAATGAGAGATTTTAGAAGCATATGCACTCTAAAAATTCCCATGTATTGGATTTTTACTTTGAATAAGTGAATATGATATTGTGGCCAAAGTTTGAATAAGTGTTTGATACTCACATTTAAAGTATTTAAAGTACTAATGTGAGATTGTATAGATCATTGGAAAAGTATTATGGATTTCGAAGTTTTGTTATGAGATATATTGATCTAACTTTATCATTATACAAATTATATGCATACTTTGAGGATAACAAAATGATAGTGAGCAGAATTAATCAATTAAGATTAAGATACTTTGATTTAATCAAAAGAACTGGAGCAGAATTTGAGATTGAAATCGATAGGATAACTTATACTTTATCAGTTTATGAAATGATCGTTTCAGCTTACAATACAACTTAGATGACTACCTACAAAAAAGAATTTTCAGAAGAAACCTTATTCCTAGAAAAGGAGACAAATAAATTTAGTGAGAAATTAATTGAGATTTATTTGAAGGAATTGTTTGGGAATCTTGTAGATTTTATATAAAAATACGCAAAAGAGGAAAGTGAATTAGAACTTAATTTATATGATAATAAATAATAATCAGAAATAAGGGTTGTAGAGAAAGTATAGAACATTAATTAAGTAGATAATAAGAAATTAATAGAAAACATTAGTTAAGTATATTTATTAATATATATCAATAGGATGTGAATTTATCATGGAATAAGAGAGTTGATGTTTTTAGATTAGAATGCGAAAAACATTTTTAGGGCACCAACTTGATGAAAAGTTTGTTGAAAAAATTCTTATAAACTTTTATGGCTTATTATAATGCATTTTATAAGTATGCCAAGACTAATCATCCTATGTATGTGGCCAATTTGACTTAAGTGACAACAATTATGAAAGAAATTAAAGCAATCCAAACGAAATATAATATGTGAATTTATTGATAAATATCCGGAATATATAAGTATTTTGAAAAAAAGAGAGGTTTTATAGAAATTGTATAAAATATATTTAAATAATTTAAATATATAAAATTATGCTATTTCAAAACTAGAATAACAACAACAACAAGCCTCCAGTACCTCCTAGGTTCTATCCAGGCAATCCGGCTTTGAATAAAAATGCTGATGGACTTCTTTGTTCTATTAATACTGCTTAAAACAATATTTAAATCTCAAGAGCTGAAACTAGAGTAGAGTATTATAGAAATCAAAAACAACCTTCTCAATCAATGGCTTAACCTGGATTTCAATAATAAAATCCACAAGGAAGCCTCTTTGGAGGTGTCTAATAACCATAATAATAATAATCGACATTATTTGGTTAGTAAGCAACAGCTTAACCAACATTATTTGGGCAATAATAAACAGGTTTAGGATTAGGAGGAGGATTAGGGACAGGAATGGGAACTGGATTAGGAACCGGATTAGGTGGAGGATTAGGAGGAGGTTTGGGTCAATAATAATAGACACAACAAAATCAAACAGGTTTAGGTGCAGGCACTTAAGCAAGTCCATTTGGTGGAGGCTTAGGATCAGGTTTTGGAGGTGGATTAGGAACAGGATTAGGAACTGGATTAGGAACAGGATTAGGAACTGGATTAGGAACAGGATTAGGCACCGGATTAGGAACTGGATTAGGTACTGGAACACTAGGTGGAGGTTTATCAGGAGGATTAGGATAGAACACATTTGCTTAAGGAACAGGATTAGGTTTAGGATTAGGATTTGGATAATAATAATAATAATAATAAACTGGATTACTTGGACTTGGATAACCATAATAATAATAAGGATTATTAGGTGCTGCTCCTTAATAAGGTGGATTATTATTATAATAGCCTATGCAACAATAATCACAAGGAATATTTGGTTAACATTAACAATAAGGATTAGGTTAATAGAATTGGGATAATAGTCAAAATGGAGCAATGGCTTAGGCTCCAATAAATTAGTAAGCCTTATATAATCCAGCTTATCCAGTTTATTAGCAATAATAAATTGATATGAATATTGATTTCGATATAAAGAATGAATAAGAATATTTGAGAGAAGTAGAAGATGAGTTCAAAAAGAAGTTTCCTACTTTTAGTGAGTATGCCTAATAGAATGATGTAACTTTTAGTGTGGGGAATGTAAATTTGAGATTCAAGAATCCTTCTTTAGAAATAAAAATAAAATCAAAAAACAATTAAAAATCAAAGGAAGAAATTAAGCCATGGTATATGTCTTTAAAATAGGAGAAAGATTAAAAATAATATAAATAATCTCTCAATAAATAATTTTATAATAAAAGTAATAAAAAGGAACTAGATGAGTACACATAATCAAGCCTTGTGTAAATTAAATCAGAAGAATAATAGTAGGAAAATAAAGTAAATCCTAGAGCACCTAAATGCACTAAATACATCTTAAGTCCAAATATTTAAATTCTTTCAGAAATGAGTGATAATCAATTAACTAGAGTAAGAGATTTTAAGATTTAAAATGAATATGGCAGTATTCATTTTTTAGAGGCAGTCGATTTAAAGGATATGAATATTGATTAAATTGTTAAGTTGAAATAAGATAGTGTAGAGGTATTAATTTTTTATTTAATTTTAGTTTTATCCAGAAGATCAATTTGGTTAAGTTCCTGAATATGGGAAAGGATTAAATGTTAGATGCAGAGTTGTTTTAACTAATTTTGCATGTGAGAATAGAGGTATGTGTGAAATGAGAGTAAATAACAAAAAGGAATTCGAGAAAGTAGTCAAAAGTTGGACGGAAAAGAACAATATGAAGTTCATATCAGCTGGAGATGATGTTGTTTTTGAATTAGATCAATTATGATTAAATATATTTTAGAGATCATTATCAAAATATCTCATAATCAATTATCACTATGTTAATCAATATTATTTTATGAATAAATTTTGTGATTATAACTCTTGTTAATTCAATATTAAACAACCTACAATAGAATAAAGATCAAAGTTAACAAAAGTTATATGTCCTGTCTGTATGGCTTCTAATTACTGTAGTATTAGATGCAGAGATCTTGATTGGTAAATTAATATAATAATGTTAAAGGACAATTTATCATAAAGGAATATGTAAAAAAAACTAACCAGACAGAGCTAAATCATGTAATGATACAATGGATTCATCATCGACTGTTAGTGTCAGAAGAAAACCTGAAGAATTCGAAATTATAATAATTGGCTCTAAATAGGAATTGGGAAGAGGTTCATATGGTTCAGTCAAACTTGTCAAGGACAAATAGAATGGATAATTATATGCAATGAAAATAGTAATAGTTTGGTTTCATTATGCTTAGATGAACAAAAGATAAGTTTTTGAGTATTGTTCAGTAGAAAATCTAAAAAGAGAAATCAAAATACAACGCAAATTATTTCATTCAAATATTTGCAAACTTTATCATTACTTTGAAGATAAAGAAAATGTGTATTTGGTTCTAGAATATGCTGGTATTTATGACATTTGGATTAGAAAATGGATCTCTATTTCACTACATAAAAAAGAAAACCAAATTGCCAGAAGATGAGGCATTTATTTATTTCTTTTAAACTTGTCTTGGAATTGATTATTTACATAAAAATAAAGTAATTCATAGAGATCTCAAAGTAATTTATAATATTAAATGATTAGCCAGAGAATCTTTTATTAGATAACGAAGGAAATGTTAAAATATGTGATTTTGGTTGGAGTGCTGAAAGTTTGACAGAAAAACGAATGACATTCTGTGGAACTTATGAATATATGGTATATAGCAATTTTATATAATAGGCTCCTGAAATGTTGAATAAATAACCACATGATTTCAGTCTAGATGTTTGGAGTTTAGGTATCTTATTATACGAACTCTTACATGGATATGCTCCTTTTAGAGGCAGGAATAATGAAGAATTATGCAACAAAATAAAATCAGGATAACCTATTAATTTTGCACCTACTTTGTCTCATGAAGTAATAACTCTTATCAAAGGGATTTTGAAGTACATTCCATCTGAAAGATTAACTATGGAATAAATATTTGATCATCCTTGGATGCTAAAAAATGCTGCCATTTTCAATATTGATATTTAGAGCTTTGTTTACAAACATCAATTCCCTACGAAATAGATTCCTTTAATCAATTTTAAATCTACATCAAAACCTAAGGATATACAAAAGAAAGAATCTTATGCTAGACCCATGTCATAAGATTATTCTAAATTCAAAACCTAAGAATAATAATCTAATTATAAGAATTTTACTTAGAATGATAAAATTCGATAAGACGATATTAATAAGCCTAGAATTAGTAGAGTATCTAATAAAAATGAAATCTTACTTCATTAGCATCAATTATAATAACAGTAATAAGAATAAAGATTGGGGTTTATGGATAGAGTCTTTTTAGCATTTGGATGTCTAAATAGAGATAAAAAGTGATAAATTACTTGAATATTGATTATAAATTATTATTGAAATCGTAGTATTTTCATTTTGGTAATCAATTTATATATATATTACCATGAAAACAATAAAAGGTATTGGAGTTGATATTGTAAATAATCAAAGAATGTTAAATATAATCAAAGCTTAATATGCTGAAAGATTTTTGGTTAAGGTGCTCCACCCAAAAGAAATTGAATAATTTAAAAGCAAATCAACAATTTAATTACAATAATAATATTTAGCATCTAGATGGGCTGTAAAAGAAGCGCTTGTCAAGGCTTCTAGTTTTAAAGAGCTAGTATTTCCAGAAGTTGAAATTTGTAGAAAATAAGAAAAACCCAATATTGTTTTACATAATAAGAATTTGGAATATTTTAAAAAGAATTTTGGAGAATAATTTGAAATTTAAGTTAGTATCTCACATGAAGATAGTTATTCTATTGGATTTATTATTTTATTGATATGATTATGTATTTAATGATTAAGAATAAAATATAGATAAATGAATTTTTGATCTAGTTAAAATAATACTAAATGAATATATTAAGATATAAAATTAATCATTTATTTATATATTTTAGTTATTAATTAAAAATTTCAAATCATAAATGAAATAAATCACGAATATTTATTAATCATGACTTTTTGATTATATTTCCTTTATTAATAGAAGTCAGTTATAAAGTCATTGACTTTTATTTAGGATTCATTCTAGATTTTGGTCTTGCATAATTAATTATCATTTCTTAAGTTTTATCAAGAGATAATTAATATTATCTTTCATCCATAGATTATTTTGACCTTATTATCATATAATTGATATACTTAGTCAAAATTTCTTAGGTTTCAGTAATTGACCTATTTTTACGGTTATTTAATTTGATAGCAAATGTTTAATTTTAAAATCCATTTTAGAAAATGGAAGATCTATATTTATTTTCTAATACAATAGTTTATTTAGAATTTTCCAAATGATTTTTATCTCTTCTTAAGTTTTAGGATTCATTTAATTCTTTTTTTAATAAAGTTATTTCCTTTTAATAATTCTAATAAATGTTGTTTGTTTTTAATACATGAATTTAATATTTGTAATCTTTTTCAATAGAAATCTATTAATCATATAGGTCCTACACATTCTCACAATAAAGCTTCAATCTCTATTCTGTCTATTTGTTAATTTTCTCTTCGATACCCTAATATGATCTCTGCATTATCCTTCATAGTTTTACAGTTATTCCTCTAATTAAGCATATTATTGATTTAAATCCTTTAAGACTCTACAATAATATTATATATATTATACTTTAATACTTCGTCCAAGATAGTAAAAATGAATTGGATTTATTTTAATGAATTTTCTGGTTGAATTATGCTAACAGTTTCTTATCCTAATTCAGTTAATTTATTGATCAATTTTGGAAAGTAATTAGTAACCTAGATAATCCTACATATTACTTCAACTTAAATCAAATCTAATAAATTCATAATATATATAAATATATTATTTATATGTAATTTCAATGACCAATAAATTTAGTTTATTCTCTTGATGGTTTTTCATTTCTCTAATGTTTTAATGCTGGATGTGGTTATCTTAACAATTCAAATGTACTATCATCTTATGTCTTTTCCCAAGGTTTATAATATCTAATATAAAATTAAACATTTACTTCATCTAATCTACTAGATCAACTTCTTTTGCTAATTATTATATTAAAAATTCAATTTATTCAAAACCAAATTCTTCTTCTAATTATCTAATATCCTCTATTTCATCTGTAATACGCATTATATATTTTAATTTCTCCTCAGTATAAATTCTATAAAGGACATTTTCTGGTATTTCTGTTTTTAATTTATCAAGTATTGTATAACATAATTTCATTATTTTTGCTCTTGGCATAGGTTCAACATCTAAAAAACTATAACCAGTTGTTAATTTAATTTTTGATGATGGAACTTCATACTTTTTTGCATCATATTATCTCAAATAAACAGGAGTTGGATTTGATTCTATTTTTATTTTCTATATATTTTTACATTTTGCTGATGTATTAGATCCAGTTGAAACATTTGATGATCCAATTTTAGTACTAAACTTCATCTTTGGAATCAATCTAATAAATGTTTGGATCATTTCTAATAATAATATTTAGAAAAATGAATGTTCATAAAAAAATTCTAGAAAAGAGTGGAAGATTGGACACTTAATATGCTCAATAATAATAATAATAATCACATGTGAAAGAAGAGGAATATATTCAAAATTAATAAAATAGTGATTACTTATAATTGAATGCCTCATATAATAATATTAGATGTACATCAAATGTATTTCCACATTCAAAATAAACATACATAGATGCAAAAATTCCATTTGCTATTATGATATAACCTTATGGATAATCTGTGTAAGATGGATTTGTGTCAGTCAATAATGGTGGCTATCCAATTATAAGATGTGCAAAATGTAGGGCTTATTTAAATCCTTTCATGAAATTTTTAGATGATTATGATTATTTTAAATGTAACTTATGTGGTTTGATAACTTAAATTGGATTTAATAAAATAACAAAAGAGAATGCAATTTAAAGAACTGAATTAACTATGGGATCTTATGATATCAAAGCAGGTTAAGAATATCAAATGAGACCTCCTATGGCTCCTGCATATTTTTTTATGATTGATGTTTCAACAAAGAGTGAAGCACTTTTAGGAATTATAGGATAAGTTATGAATGAATTAATAATAAGTGAAACATTTAATGAAAGAACTTTATTTGGATTTTTAACATTTGATTCATCTATTCATTTATATAATTTCAATTCAAGACTTAAATAAGCCTAGATGTATGTATTAACAGATGATAATGAATTGCCTATGCCTGGAGAATATCTATTTAATTTATAAGAATCTAAAGATATTATAGTTGGATTCTTGGATTCTTTAAGTCGATTATTTCCAAAACCTCTTTTAAGGAGTACATAATTCATAGAAGCATTAAAAATATCACAAAAATTAATAAAAGATAATGGAGCCAAATTAATCATCTTAACATCTTCACCAATTAAAGAATTGAGCATTGTGGATAATGGAAAATAACAATAATAATATTTACATAAAAGTAAATCAATATTGACATAATTGACTGAAAGTATGTATTTTCAATATATATGTCCATCAATATTTGTTGTTCCTAATAATTATATGAATATATATACTATAAATCAATTAGCAACCTATTTAAATGGAGATGTATTCTATTATGATGATCCAACAGTATACAGTAAAATATTATTATTAATATTTAAGCAACAAGATTTAAAAATGATTTAAAAGAAGTATTGAGTAGAGATTATGCTTGGGAATCAGTTTTTAGAATTAGAACTTCACCTGGATGGAAGATTAAACATGTTTATGGTAATTATGTTGTGAAAACCTCAGATTTATTAAATATTACTAATTGCGATGAGTAAATATTAATGATATCATTAATGATAGTTAAAAAGTATTAATTTATGAATTAGAATTAACTGAACCAAATCTATCATATGATCTTCTCTATATATAAACTGCTTTATTGTATACATCATAAAGAAGTGAGAGAAGAATTCGAGTTCATAATTTGTGTATTCCCTTAAGTAATTCTGTCAAAACTATATATTCACATATTGATTAATCTACTTTAGCTATGACCATATTTAAAATGGCTTTACATTAAATTAATTCAGTAAAGAATTTGATTCCTGTTAAAGAATTCATTATCTCAACTATTAGATCCATATTTTATAATTGTAAATTATACAATATAAATTTGGATCAAATGCATGCTTATTCATTAGGAATCATGAAATCTATAATACTAAATTACACTTATGATTAATAAAGTAATTTAACAGATTATGTGAATTACTTTAGAATATTATTTCAGTATATTCACTATGATGAATTAGTTACATATTTAGTACCATAATTATATAATGTAACTAATTTATAAGAACATGAATGTGTTTATGATGATTAGGGTTAGTTTGTTTACCCATAATAATTATCTCTGGTTCTTGCTGAATTATAAAGTGGAGGTCTATATCTGATGGATTGTGGATACTGTTTAATTTTATATATATGCAAGTAAGTGAATGTGTAATTAGAGAATACATGATCCCACTTAATTAGTAGATCTATTTGATGAAGAATACCAAACTAAACAATTATATGAGGATAACCTATAAACAAATAATGCCATCTATACTCTTATATCTCAATTAAGATAGTATTATTATATCTATTATAACAAGCAATAAATTTACAAAGTATGTTCCATTATACATTGTCAAATAAGGTTGTAAGAGTTTATGGGAAGATGTATTTCTATAAAATCTAATTTATGATGATTTCAATCCTAATTATAGGATGGATTATAATAGATTTGTATAATATATTGGTTGATAATATAATTGTCTATATATATATATATATAGTATATATATATAATTATAAAATTTAAATAATATAATATGAATTCATCTTAATATGGTGCATTTGGTATGAGTGGTAATAATTTCAATTAAGCAAAACCACCTGTCAATAATTACAATTTTGAAAATGTTAGAGTAAATCATCATTTTTATGAGATTAGGCATAATAACCTGCACCAGGTGGACCATAACCTTCAAGAGGAAAACCTATTGGTACAGCAGCCAGATAACCTTAAGCAGAAGCTAGACCTATGACATCTAATAGAGGAGCTAATTTTGGGTAAAAGAAGGACCCATTCAATTCCACTCAGAATCAATTAAATTTGAATAAACCAAAACTTGAAACTAATCCTGAAGAATAATTTAAATCAATAGAAAAAGAAATCAATACTCTTATAGAATAGAGTGCCATGGCTAAATTGAGGGGAAATTTATCAGAATGTTTAGAAAAAGCCAAAGAAGCATTCAATAAGGAAAAAAAGTTAAGATAATCTAAGGAAGCATAAAATTTAGCTGAATCAATTAATACTGATCTTAGCTATTGTGTAGCCTTAACTTAAGCATGCGCTTTACATGCTAATGGATTACATCAAGATGCTCTATCTAAATATTAAGAAATTATAAAATGTAAATAATACCCTCAAGCAGGCAGATTAAGAGTAAATATGGGCAATATTTATTTTGAATAAAAGAAGTACCCTAATGCAATAAAGATGTATAAGATGGCATTAGATTTAATTCCTGCTACTTCTAAAGAAATGAGATTCAAAATATAAAAAAATATAGGTCATGCTTAAGTGAGACTTGGAAAAGAGAAAATTAAAGAAGCTATAACAACTTATGAATAAATCCTTAAAAATTCACCTGATTTTCCAACAGGATTTAATTTAATGATTTGTTTATATTTAAGTGGAAATAAGAATAAAATGAAAGATTATTTTGTTACTTTACTTACAATAGAAATACCAGGAGAGAGTGAAGAAGAGAATAATGAAAATAAGGGTACTACAATTACAGATAAATTAAGAGAAGATACTAAAGAAAGAAGAAGAGAAGCTATTTATTATATTGTAACATCTGCAAAATTGATTGCTCCTTTAATTGAAGATGATATTATTGTAGGATATGAATGGATTTTAGAATAGTTAAAGAATTCAACATTTCCAGAAGCTGAAACTGAAATTGAAATATGTAAAGCAATGGCATTTTTGAAAAAAAAGAATATTGAAAAATCTATTGAAACTTTGAAAGGATTTGAAAAGAAAGATAAATAAATTATGGCAAGAATAGCAACAAATATCTCATTTTTGTATTTCTTAGAAAATGATTATAAACAGGCTGAAAAATATGCAGAAATTGCAATTACATATGATAGATATAATGCTAAAGCTTTAGTAAATAGAGGTAATTGTCTTTATGTTAAAAATGAATTTTTAAGAGCCAAAGAATAATATTTAGAAGCTATTGGTGTAGAAGCTGATTGTATTGAAGCACTCTACAATTTGGCATATGTTAATAGGAAATTGAATATGTTTGTTGAATCTCTATAAGCATTAGATAAACTTTAAACTATTGTTTGTATTCCTGAAGTTTTATTTCAAATGGCTACATTATATGAAATGACTGGTAATTCTAAATAAGCTATGAAATGGTATTTGGAAGTATTGAATAAAGTACCAAATGATCCCAATATCTTGGCTAGACTTGGATCCTTATTTGCAAGGGTATAGAAAATAATAAATAATTTATTAGGAAGATGATGAACCTTAGGCTTTGCATTATTTCTAAGAATCATATAGAATTCTACCTACTAACATAGAAACAATTTCATGGTTAGGAGTGTATTATGTGAAATAGGAAATGTATGAAAAGGCTAGTTTATATTTCGAAAGAGCTGCATAAGTTTAATCAAGAGATGTTAAATGGAAATTGATGGTTGCTAGTTGTTATAGAAGAATGGGACATTTCTAAAAAGCTTTAGGGAATTACTAAAAGATATATTCAGATTATCCTGATAATATTGAATGTATTAATTTATATTTATTTATTTAGGTCTCAGATTTNAATAATACCCTCAAGCAGGCAGATTAAGAGTAAATATGGGCAATATTTATTTTGAATAAAAGAAGTACCCTAATGCAATAAAGATGTATAAGATGGCATTAGATTTAATTCCTGCTACTTCTAAAGAAATGAGATTCAAAATATAAAAAAATATAGGTCATGCTTAAGTGAGACTTGGAAAAGAGAAAATTAAAGAAGCTATAACAACTTATGAATAAATCCTTAAAAATTCACCTGATTTTCCAACAGGATTTAATTTAATGATTTGTTTATATTTAAGTGGAAATAAGAATAAAATGAAAGATTATTTTGTTACTTTACTTACAATAGAAATACCAGGAGAGAGTGAAGAAGAGAATAATGAAAATAAGGGTACTACAATTACAGATAAATTAAGAGAAGATACTAAAGAAAGAAGAAGAGAAGCTATTTATTATATTGTAACATCTGCAAAATTGATTGCTCCTTTAATTGAAGATGATATTATTGTAGGATATGAATGGATTTTAGAATAGTTAAAGAATTCAACATTTCCAGAAGCTGAAACTGAAATTGAAATATGTAAAGCAATGGCATTTTTGAAAAAAAAGAATATTGAAAAATCTATTGAAACTTTGAAAGGATTTGAAAAGAAAGATAAATAAATTATGGCAAGAATAGCAACAAATATCTCATTTTTGTATTTCTTAGAAAATGATTATAAACAGGCTGAAAAATATGCAGAAATTGCAATTACATATGATAGATATAATGCTAAAGCTTTAGTAAATAGAGGTAATTGTCTTTATGTTAAAAATGAATTCTTAAGAGCCAAAGAATAATATTTAGAAGCTATTGGTGTAGAAGCTGATTGTATTGAAGCACTCTACAATTTGGCATATGTTAATAGGAAATTGAATATGTTTGTTGAATCTCTATAAGCATTAGATAAACTTTAAACTATTGTTTGTATTCCTGAAGTATTGTATCAAATGGCTACATTATATGAAATGACTGGTAATTCTAAATAAGCTATGAAATGGTATTTGGAAGTAATGAATAAAGTACCAAATGATCCCAATATATTGGCTAGACTTGGTTCTTTATTTGCTAGGGTATAGAAAATAATAAATAATTTATTAGGAAGATGATGAACCTTAGGCTTTGCATTATTTTTAAGAATCATATAGAATTCTACCTACTAACATAGAAACAATTTCATGGTTAGGAGTGTATTATGTGAAATAGGAAATGTATGAAAAGGCTAGTTTATATTTCGAAAGAGCTGCATAAGTTTAATCAAGAGATGTTAAATGGAAATTGATGGTTGCTAGTTGTTATAGAAGAATGGGACATTTCTAAAAAGCTTTAGGGAATTACTAAAAGATATATTCAGATTATCCTGATAATATTGAATGTATTAATTTATATTTATTTATTTAGGTCTCAGATTTNAGTACCCTAATGCAATAAAGATGTATAAGATGGCATTAGATTTAATTCCTGCTACTTCTAAAGAAATGAGATTCAAAATATAAAAAAATATAGGTCATGCTTAAGTGAGACTTGGAAAAGAGAAAATTAAAGAAGCTATAACAACTTATGAATAAATCCTTAAAAATTCACCTGATTTTCCAACAGGATTTAATTTAATGATTTGTTTATATTTAAGTGGAAATAAGAATAAAATGAAAGATTATTTTGTTACTTTACTTACAATAGAAATACCAGGAGAGAGTGAAGAAGAGAATAATGAAAATAAGGGTACTACAATTACAGATAAATTAAGAGAAGATACTAAAGAAAGAAGAAGAGAAGCTATTTATTATATTGTAACATCTGCAAAATTGATTGCTCCTTTAATTGAAGATGATATTATTGTAGGATATGAATGGATTTTAGAATAGTTAAAGAATTCAACATTTCCAGAAGCTGAAACTGAAATTGAAATATGTAAAGCAATGGCATTTTTGAAAAAAAAGAATATTGAAAAATCTATTGAAACTTTGAAAGGATTTGAAAAGAAAGATAAATAAATTATGGCAAGAATAGCAACAAATATCTCATTTTTGTATTTCTTAGAAAATGATTATAAACAGGCTGAAAAATATGCAGAAATTGCAATTACATATGATAGATATAATGCTAAAGCTTTAGTAAATAGAGGTAATTGTCTTTATGTTAAAAATGAATTCTTAAGAGCCAAAGAATAATATTTAGAAGCTATTGGTGTAGAAGCTGATTGTATTGAAGCACTCTACAATTTGGCATATGTTAATAGAAAATTGAATATGTTTGTTGAATCTCTATAAGCATTAGATAAACTTTAAACTATTGTTTGTATTCCTGAAGTATTGTATCAAATGGCTACATTATATGAAATGACTGGTAATTCTAAATAAGCTATGAAATGGTATTTGGAAGTAATGAATAAAGTACCAAATGATCCCAATATATTGGCTAGACTTGGTTCTTTATTTGCTAGGGTATAGAAAATAATAAATAATTTATTAGGAAGATGATGAACCTTAGGCTTTGCATTATTTTTAAGAATCATATAGAATTCTACCTACTAACATAGAAACAATTTCATGGTTAGGAGTGTATTATGTGAAATAGGAAATGTATGAAAAGGCTAGTTTATATTTCGAAAGAGCTGCATAAGTTTAATCAAGAGATGTTAAATGGAAATTGATGGTTGCTAGTTGTTATAGAAGAATGGGACATTTCTAAAAAGCTTTAGGGAATTACTAAAAGATATATTCAGATTATCCTGATAATATTGAATGTATTAATTTATATTTATTTATTTAGGTCTCAGATTTTTGGTTTAGTTATGTAGAGAAATGGGATTACCATATGAAGAATATGCTGGATAATTGAGAAAATTAGAGAGAGAAATGGAAATGATGGATGGATATTAAGGTTAAGATATTAATTTAATTAATAATGAAGAGGAATAGGTTAGATTACCATAAGGAGATGATAATCCAGTTAGTTTTACAAATAATACTAGGTAATTATTAATTCATATTATTATTATAGACGTGGGAATAAACAGCCACCTCCTAAAGCAAATGTTAGATAAAATATTGATGATGAATAATTCTAAGATGGGGTAGAAGATAACTTTTTGCCTTGAAATGATATAAAATATAAATATATAAATTATGAACATTTCATAGTAATATGAAGAATAATAGAATTCAGAAAGAATTGACACTCAATTTCATAAATAGAGTTAGAATCTTTTCAGACGATAATTATCATAATATTAATTCAATAATACTTGGAAACTTAATGGATTCAATATAATTTTAATAGTTCTAAAATTTATATAAGCAATTACGAAATAAACATTTACTACTTCATTTAAATTGTTAAATGGTCAATTTTTCAAATTACTTAAGGATAACACTGCAGATTACAATTATTATTTACATAGAGGATATTTTACATAAAATAAAGCTTAATCGTTTATGATTAAATTTGATCAAAAAGTGAACTTCTTATAATGTAATAATTTTTATTAAAATAGATTATAGAAGGAATTATTTAAAGAGAATAATGTAGTTTATTTTATTTGAACCAGATGACACAATAATTATAGTATGGAATATTTATCTACTTTGTATAGTTACAATAAATGTATTTTATGTTTCATTACGATTATCATTTGTTGAAATTGTTGAAATGGAATGGTAATTAAAAGATTTCATTTTTGAATAATTACCTAGTTATTCATTCTTATTAGAAATTATTATTAAATTTAATACTTGTATTTATAGTAAAGGAGTACTTATTAAAAATAGAAAAAGATTAATAAAAAGATATCTTAAAAGAGAATTTTTAATTGATTTAGTATTAATAATACCATTTTTTATTGGAAGATAATTTGATTTTATATATTTAGATCTTGTTATTATCTTGAAAGTATTTTAAATATCCAAATTAACTAATTCTTTATTCAATCGTTTGGAATTGACATAACAACAAACAACTGTTTTTGAATTAGTTAAACTAATGTAATAAACAATTAATAATAGAGTTTTTTTATACTATTATGTGCTCATTTCTCAGCTTGTATTTGGCATAAACTAGGAGTATGGGGAGATTGGGGAAATAAAAATACAGTAACATGGTTAATAAAAGAATAATTATATAATTCAATGTGGATTGATAGATATGTAGTATCATTTTATTGGAGTATAGTTACTATGACAACTATTGGTTATGGTGATATTATTCCTGTAAATTTAACAGAAAGGATATTTTGTATAATAATGACATTGATATCTACAGCAACATTTGCTTATTCAGTTAATAGTATTGGATAAATATTTTAAGATATGTCTAAACAATCTGTTTAATTTAAAACAAATATGAATAGTTTAAATAAATTCTTAAAAAATTAGAAAGTATCAACTTCATTACAAATAAAATTTAGAAGATATTTTGAATATTTTTGGAGTAAACCTTCATAAGAAGTAATATAATTTTAAGATTAAATTCCATAATAATTAAAAGATCAAATGATTGTAGATATAAATATTAAATTATTAAAATAATTAGATTTATTTAAATAATTTAGTAATACTTTACTTAATACATTATGTTTATAATTTAAAGAATTATAATTATAACCAGATGAATATCTATTTAAATCAAATTAGAGATCAGATAAACTATATATTTTAGTAAATGGATAAATTGATTTACATGTAATCATTAATAAAAAAAAGAGAATTTTAGAAAAATTAAAAACTTTATGTTTAGTTGGTCAATTAAATTTTATTCTAAATAAAGAATACAATTATGAAGCAATGGCTACAAAAAATACAAAAATATTAACAATTGATAGATAAACTTTAATTGATAATATAAAATAGAATGATATTGATTATGTATAATATTATTATTATAAAAAGGAAATTTATAAAAATTTTGAAGAAGATATTAGAATATAAAAATAATATGGTAAAATTTCAATTATATGTTCAATATGTAGAAAATCAAAACATTTTGTTCTTGATTGTCCTTTACTTTTTGGAGGTATAAATAGAACAAAAGTATTATATTAATTGAGACATAATTTACCTTAAGATAGAATTTATAAGTTAAGGAATAATGAAGATAGAAGAATATAAACAAAAAAACATCATTTTCTTGTTATGGAAAGTGTAATATAATATATAATAAAGAATGATGAGATTTGTAATTTAGAGGGAATTAAAGAATGTAAATATTATATACATCCTAGAATTACAAGTAGCCATTAAATAATAATTACAATATGAAGAAAAAATCTCTAATAATAAAAGTAAATAATTCACTAAATAATTATCATAATTACCAAATATTCCATCTTCTATTAATTGTATATCTCTTCGTAATATTCAGACCAATAAGGTATTATAAGACAATTAGAATTAAGAAGAGCCTAAAGAAGAAGTTAATTAAGTTGGTACTTTGAGTAAACCATAAGATTTTAGATTATTAACAAACTTAAATAATTAAGAAATATCACCTATTTTAGAAGAACCATAAACTAAGGAAGAAAGATCAGATGAAATTAATAATAATGAATAATTACCTTAAATAGAGAAATAATAGAATTCTATTTAACCTTCTAATCAAAATACAGATACAAAAGAAACATAATAAAGAATGGTAAAGAAAAGAAATTCAATTAGATAGAAATTTGATAGAAAATAAACAGATTAAGGTGATATTATAAAAAATAGATAACATTAATTTAAAAGATTATTTACTGAAAAAGAAGATAATTATGAAAAAAAATCTAAATTTTCTGGATTTAATAATTAATTAATTATATCTCAATAATACAAAAAGAATCCATTAGGATAATAATTAACTATAAAAAGAAAATAAAGTATTTAAGATTATATACAATAAAATGATAAGACTTAAGAAATTCCATCAAATAAATAGAATAAAGTAGATGAATTATCTTTTGATTTAGAATATTCTAAAAGCTAACGTTCAATTAAAAATAACAATTTTAAACAAAATTAAGAAATAGATTAAGATAATAATATTTAAAAATCATTTAATAAAATATACACAAAAGTATTTGATAAAGATAATAATTTTGAAGATGAAAATTATATAATAAATTAATATTAAGATGATGATAATTTAAGAAATAATTATCGAAATACTGATAGATAGGTTGGATTTCAAGATAATAATTAAAATTAAATTTTACATTTACCATAATAAGATATTAAATTAATGGATTAAAGTATGATGGTTTAGTTTGAAAAGATTAAATAGAAGGAGGAACAAATATAACAATAATATAGGGATAGATAATAAACAATTAATACAAATAATAAAGAAAGTAAAGAAATAAATAATTAAAATATACAAAGAGGATTAGCTATTAAAGTAACTTCTGATGATTCTTCAGATGAAGATATTAATGGATAAAAATTAATGAGAGGATAATATCTTGAAATATTTAAAGATTTTGAAATAATAAAAGAATTTAAATGTTATTATCCACATAATAATATAAATTAAGTTATATTTTAGGTATTAATTTATAATTACATATTTAGTTATATAAGAATGATTTTTATTCATAATAAAATCTTATGAAGAAAAGAAAACTTAAAAAATAAGATACAATAATGAATTTACTTAAATAAACATAACATTTAATGAGAAAAAGTTAATAATAATAATGATTGTATAATTAAATAATTTAGAATATACTTTTAGAAAATTATAATTTATTCTTTTCAATATTATTAATAATCTAATTTTCTAATCTATATTTCTTTAGATTTATCATCCCATGTTATTAACAATTCTCCTGTTTCACTAATTTAACCAAATATACTTTTAGTACCAAAATCTATAAATTATATTAAATTAATTTCATCATTTAATTAAACATTCAAAAAATTAATTGTAGTTCCATTTTTATTTATAAGTAATTACTTTTTCTTAATATATTATTAAGGAAATAGATAATTACAATTATTTCCATTTTTTACTTCTATATTCTTTATTTTAGTATACTTTCTAGTTATATTATCTACTTCATATAAATACATAGATTTTGATGAATTTGGCTAAAATGCAAATATATTATCATTTAAAAAACATAATCTATATCCAGATTATTCCAATCTTATTTATTAAATTACATTCCATTTACATTAAATTGAATCTAAATTTTCTATAATTAAAATTAATTTATCATCACCACATGAAATTAATTATTTTTAAGTATTATTTAAACTCAATCCTGATACATTACTAGTATGAACTGCTATTGTTTATGAACAATTCCATCCATTTTTATTAATCCAAAATTTTATTGTAGTATCATCACTACCTGATATAATTAAATCTTAATTTTGATTCAAAATTAAACAATATATAAAACTTGAATGACCTTAAAGTGTCTATTAACAATACCATTATAATTATTAATTTCTATTCCATATTTTAATTGATTAATCACAACTACCAGATATAATTGAATTAGATTTATTCATGAAATTTAAAGTGAATATAGCATTTTGATGTTCATTTAAAATTTATAATAATTTGTTTGTTTCTTACTTTAATTCAAAGATATTAATTAATGAATTAGAACCAGCTGCAATTAATGAACAATCTTAATTTATTGCAATTGCATAACAATATTCACTTTATTAAATAGAAAGTTTATCTAATTTAGTATATTTAAATGATTAAATATTTTATTAAACTTTTTATTATCTTTAAAGTCTTTAAAATATTTAAATTTAACCATATGATACTTCTAATTTAAGTTATGATGTTTTAGATTTCTTAATACATTTGTTATTAATTTTGTAAATCATATTATCAAATTCATTATTTTTTAAGAATAATTCTTAAAATTCTATATTAAAATCTTCATTCCATTTATCAAATTCAGTTTTTATTAATTCTTAATATTTATTGATATAATTAGAGTGACTTATATCTTCTGCAATTTAATTGACTTCTATTATTGATAATGTAGACCAATTAAGTTATTATAGTTTATTTTAATAGGAAATATTATTAAAAAATATTTCTGTATTTTTATCTATTTAGTTAATCTTAAAATTAAGAAAATTAGATACATTTTATTTGAAATCTATACTTAATTTATTTAATTCTTATTTTTTATTTAAGATTTTTAATTTATATTCATTATATTAATTCAACAATTACATTTAGAAATTAAATAGAATTTATTCAAATTATTTCATTGTTATATAATTTGTGGGATATTATGCAATACAATTAACACAATTAATTCTGTTTTTTGCTTTTTAATTTTCATTTATATCTACCATTATAATTTATTAACCAATATGATCTTAACATATTAAATTAATATTTTATTAATTTTATATATTAGAATTCATCAAATTTAAATCATTTATTTATTTATATGAATATATTTGAAATCCAATTCTAATTTTTTCTACAAGTTCTTAGTATTCTTTAATGGAATTTTAATTATTTGATATAAAACTTAAGTGTTTTAAAAAGAACTATTTATTTTCTTTAAAATTAAATTAAGATTTTTAAATATCTTAATATTATTATATAAATTAACTAATATCTTTTGTTTATAGACATTAAATTTCATTAATATACTTGGTTTAATAATCCTAAAACATTTTGATTTATTAAATAATGAAATCAATATATTTATCAATTGATGTCTAAATCTGCTATTTTAATAACAATAGATTTTCTTTCAGATTTATCAATTATTCAATATTATTTTATCCTTCTTTAGTTTTATCATTTATTAATGATGTCTTGAATTTTATTAATTATTATTCTGCATTATCAATTAAAATTAAATTTTATTTCATTGTTATTAGGCATTAAATACAAAGATTTTGATCATCTTAAACTTCACATTTATTTATTTAAAAGATAGCCATTTAAGAATGGTTTTTGCACAAGTTACTATTGAACATATATTTAATACTTATTAATTAAATTTATTCTCTTTTATTTTAATTATCCTTCAATATACTATTTATTATTTAAATTAACTTAATTTTCTTAATTTAAGTTATCCTATAAAAATGTATATTTTAGTAATAAACTATATGTAAATATAATGTTAAAAACAAAAATCTTTAATGAACATAGAATAATTTATTCATAATTTAAGAGAAACTTATGAATGATTAAAAGTAATTATATGTTCATACATTCTATAATTCTTGTGTATTTGCAATTACTATTAATTAATAAAATTAAATTATAAAATAATTGTTCAAATTTTCATATTTGCTATGGATTTTATTTTTCTGTCTACATAATCAATTACGCTTTTTATTATAGCAATTGTGCTGCTTCAAAATTATTCATTTCTTTTAATGTTTCAGCTTTAAAATTGAAAAATATTGAAACCTTTTTTTATCATATATTATGGCTTAGCTGAAATCGTTAATGCATCATCAAATGATTTTATGGCTTCTAGCAATCTTCCCAAATTATGTAATGTTTCACCTATATTTAATAAATTAAATTACCTCTATATGCGTGAGCTTCATGCATATTTTAATTAATTTATATTGCCTTTTCAAATTATTATAATGCTTCTCTATATTTTTCAGCATTAAACAATTCCAAACCTACAGTAATAATTCATCAATTACCCTTATTATAATAAGTATATTCTTCACTTTAAGCCTTTTAATTTGTTGCATCTGAACTATGAATAGCTTCTGAATATTGATTTACTTTATTTAAGCATAAGGCTAAAAAAATATGATTAGAACTTACTTTTTTATTTTTATGCTTAACTGTGTTTTGGTGAAATTCTTAGAGTAATTTCAAAGTATTTTATTGCTTACTCATACTTCTATTTATGCATTAATGCAAGTCCTAAAATATTATATATTTATAAACAACCCATATGATAATAACCATCTTCCATTTATGGACGCATTTTAATAGAGTTTTCGAAGGATACAATAGCATCATCCCACTAATTAATAGCTAATAAGGATATTCCTGTTGTTATATATTTAATTATATACCTTAAAGTAGATAAGCTTCAAAATTTGGTTCAATTTAAAGTGATATACAATAATTATGTAAAGCTTCTTCATATCTCTTTAATTGATTTAAAGCAACACCTTTTAAAATATATGGTTAATAACTCAATGGATCCATATCCATAATTAATTCACTACATTCAAGAGCTTCTTAATTTCTATTGGTCTTTATTAATGTTTTACCTAGTATATAATTAGAATATAAAATAGTACATTTTAAAATATTTTATTAAATGTTAAATGGATCTTTTTCAAGAGATTTATCACATTCTTCCAAAACTTTTTTATATTCATCATCATAATAATTAATCACTTCAGCATCTAATACAAAATTTTAGTCTAAATATTATAATTTAATAATATTTACTTTGATCTTATGCACTTATAATAACATTTTTATATTATTCCCATTCTAGATCTGTGAGTTTAATTAATGGATGAGGATTATTTTTATACCTTAATTTATAAATTATAAATTTACTCAGGGTTTTTGTTGATAGCTGTTTGAAGTTACTATTCAAATTTTTGTTTAATTATTTCAGATTGAGATCCATTACTCTTATTTTATATTTACCTTTACTCCAAATTTTATTCTAATTAATAATAAAAGAATACCTGAAAATTATGCCATTGATTATGTGATTGGATTTTAAGGAACTTAAAATATTGGTGGTTATTTAGAACTAGGATTAGATTTTTAATATGGATTTATTATTGATGGCGTATTTTCTGTATAAAAATGTTGTAATGTTTATTAATAAGCATTGCTTATAGGATCTTAAGGTGTCTATAAAGGATACTTTTAGTCTTCAAATTTTTAACTTTGTTCTTAATTACTAATAGAAATAGATGTATATTTATCCTTTGGCTTTTATGATTCATTATTTTATTTTTAATAAGTTATTTCATCTTCTTAATTATTTAATGTTTAAATTTCTTCTTTTTTCTCTTCTTCAATATTAACTTAAATTTCTTAATCTAATTTTATATTTTAATATATTTACTTTTCATCTCAACCTTTTAAATATTATCAGTGTTTTATGATTATTATTTTAATGTATTAGATATTTATGGAATTCCCAATGTATTTAATGTTTATAAAATATTATCTAATTATTCTAATATCAATTCTATTAAATATAAAATATTGCTTTACTTTAATTGGATTAATTTTGATCTTAGATATTCTTTAATAATTATATGTTAGCTAAACAATTCTAATATTCCTTTTCTTTCAAATTCTTTTCTAACTCATCAAATTTTTCATTTCCAATATTTTTAGATTAACTTAATTATTCACATTTAATTTATATAGATTTTAATTTATTGTTCACTTCATCATTTTATCCAGTTTATTATTGTTTATTATTTTACAATATTTTATATATTTGTTTAAATGTTTTACAATCCTCCTCATGATCTCCATGTTTATCCCAACTACATTTTAAACAGAATTAAACATTCTGTTAACAATTTTTATTTATACAGAATCCAATAATCTCTTCTTCATCATGTCCATCATAATGACAAAGAAATTCAGGTTCATCCATTATCTATTTATAAAGATTATTTTAATTTTACTTTATTATTATTCAATAATTTAGTAAATATATATTTTCTATATATTCCTACTCTATAAATATTATAATTATTACATATATCCCAATTTTAATAGAATATTCAATAAACTAACAACTTAAATTTTCAATATCTAAATATATTATTCTTTCGAAATTCAAATCACTTTAAATTTCTATCAAATAGTACATATTAATCAATTTATTTATATTATTTTAAGAATTTTCAATTCTGTATTAGTTTATAGAATTCAATCTATTTATATGGGTCTAAAATTAAATAGTTATTTAATTAATAAAATTCATCTATTTTTGTATTATAAAATTCTATTAATTAAGATGTATTCACTTTTTTAATGGCTATCAATAAGGATAACAAAATCCTGATTACTTGCTAACTGAAATATGCCAAATCATTTCAATTTAAATAATGCTAACTCAAAACAATCTAATTATTTTAGCCTAATGTATGATATATTACAACTATTACATTTTTCAAGAAGAATTCCTAATTTATAACTGATTCCATTAATTATACAATAATTATATCCTTCTAATCTCCTATCCTAACCAAAATAATTACAGAAATTAAAAATTCATTAAGGTTGTATCTTCTGCTTACTAATATGTCGTAATTGTGAAAATATAATCCTTTCTGGAAATTTAGATTTTACTTTCAAATTTTGGTCTTAACATTCTAAAAGGTCCTGCTAGTAAACTATTAATTCAGAAACTGCATGAATCAAAAGAATATCAATAAATTCAGATGGAAATTAATTAATATGTTGAGCATTAGATTAATCTATCATTGTGATTTCCCATATTTAAATTTAATAAAGTTTAATTTTGAAACAGGATGTATCTGTGAAGTTTAATCTAAATAATCAGTATATTTTTATTTGATTCATTAAAAGATATTTATAGAACATTAAGTAAGAATGGAGAATCCTTATTTATATGGGATAGTTATTAATAGAAAATTCAAATAAGGATATCTAATTCAATTCACGTATTATTAATTATTTATTAATTTATTTCTTTTAAAGAGTATTTTTATAATATAAATTTAAATTTTTATATGAATAATAATCATAAATTTTATTTGTAAGGAAATTCGATTTTTTTTGTATTAAAATATAAAGATTTCAAATAGAATGAATTCAATCATTTTTCCTTATTTATTAATTTAATTATTTTTATTATTTCTTAATTCTATTATAAAATGGATTTTCGATGTAATTAGGTGGATCATCAAAATTTAAAAATAATTGGCTTTTGTCTAGACCCTGAATGTCATTAACAAAGACTTTATTGTCATTATTGTTTGAATAATCACTCTTAACATTAAAATAAAACAAAGCCTTTAGAATTGTTGCCTGAATGGATTAATGAAAAAGTCGCAAGTCTTAAAGTTATATAGGGATAAATTTAGGATTGCAAATCATACCTTTAAACTTTAATTGATGTATTTATACCTTATTCAAATACAAATGTTGAAAATATGGGAATTTCTGAACTTAGTAATAAGATTAAAGGTGTTAGTTAAATAGAAGTATTTGAGAAATAGTTTTAAGGACTACTGAAATAATCAATAGATTAAATAAAACTAATATCTGATCAAACAAAAGAAAATATTAAAAATCCAGGAAATTCCAAACAATTATATAATACTTTAATATAAAAAAAAGAATAATTGAACTCTCAATCATAAAAAATTTAACAATAAGAAAAACGATTTGCATATAATCTAATTGATTAGAATTCATTTTAATAAACTGAAGGATGTCGTGCAATCGCTTTTAATAAAGATGATTCAATTGTTATTGCTACAAATGATAGAGCAATAAAGGTTTATATTCATGATAAAGGTAAATTGAGTTTAATATAAACCTTAAATGAACATAAAGAGAATGTTGTGACATTAAATTTTATGTTGAAATCTGATAAGTTTGTATCTGGCAGTTTTGATTCCTCAATTATTATATGGTAATATAATTTTGGTTAATGGACTAAGTAACAATAATTAACAGGACATACAAATTGTATACTATGTTTATTAGTAAATAATAAAGAAGATCTCATTATTTCAAGTAGTAAAGATAATACAATTAAATTTTGGATTAAATAGAATGATAGTTGGTAATTTTAATAAACTATAAATGAACATACTAAAAGTGTACATTCATTAAGCTTAAATGAATAATAAAATCAATTGATTTCTTGTTCATAAGATAAATAAATATTTGTTATATAAGAATTTGGTTAAAAGTGGATAATTAAATAACGTATTGAATTAAATTAATATGGATATCGATTATGTTTCATAAATGATAATTAATTTGTATTTTAACCTTATTGTGAAGAATTAATGTAAGTTTATGAATTTGATCAATATATATAATAGTACAAGAAGACTAATGAAATTCCTGTTAAGTGTGGTTCATCTTCAGATACTAGTTATTTTCAATTATAATATTTAAAGTCAAAAAGTCTTCTATTTAATAAAAATGGAATGTTTATTAATATATTAAAAAAGAAAGGAGATAATTAATTTTAAGTTGAATAATATATTTCTTTTGATGACCATGTTAATTTTGGATAAATAAGTTAAGATGGAAATTATATGATAAATTGGGATATGGCTAAAAGGAGAATACAAATTAGAAAATATCAAGAATTATGATTAGTTTAAGAATTAAATAAAAATAAATTAAATATATTCTATTATGTTTATAAAGTAAAAAATTACAATTTATCCTTATTTAAGTATAATCTATATACTAACATAATAGATGATTAATTTAATCAATTATAAGATAATATATACATTATTTTCATAAATTATCTTTAAATAAAATAGAAAAATATTGCTAACTTATTTTGATTGTATATCTCTTAAAACTAATTTTAATTAATGCCTAATAAGAATTAAAATTATCTTAAGGCTAAAGTTCTATTAATTTTTTTATATTTGCATTTAATTTGATTAAACTTTCTTCCATACCTTAACTTTAGTTGACTTCTTAAAATAGTATGTACTGTATGAATGCTTACACTAGGTCTTCTGAAAACTTTTCTTAAGATATTATTTTTATTATATATCACCCTAAGTTAATTATAAAATATAACATGTTTCAAAATTATAATAAAAAATATAATTAATTTAATTAATATTTGATATAAACTTTTATTAATAAATTGATAATATAAAATGAATAAAGAAAAGTTTAATTTGTTGATTTTAGCTTAATAACATAATTTTATGGATTTTATCAAATTAAAAATGTAAGATAAATAATAATAATAAAAGTATCTTTATTAAATTGATATTTAAACAACATCATGATTAATTTATATTTTTTATTTATAATCAAATTCTTTCATTTCTTTCTTACTCTTCTAAATAATTTTAATACATTATTTTTAATAATTTCTTTTCTAATAAAGGTAATGATTTTAAAGTAATTAAAAATTCTTGGATTTTACTATCTATTGAAAAAGCCCTAAAAGTACTTACAGTCAGCATTATCTATTCTATGGTGACAATTTAATTCAATTTCTTAATTCTTTTTATAATCTCAATAATCTTTTTCATGTTTTCTCTTATAATTTCTGTATTTATTTAGAGGGGTGCTAATAAATTATTTTTGGCTTGCAATAACATCTTTACAAATGAATGAATATCGATAATTAATTAAGGCAAAAAAGAAATAAGATTATCAAATTAGATTAAGTCTTAACACCAACTCAAGAGACATTATAGAAATTCTTCTAAATTACTTTCTATAATGTCTTCTTGAAAAATGTCTTATAGCTTTTAAATCTGCTATAATTTTTATGATATTTCACTCTTATTTTCTAAAATGTAATTATTCATTAAGTTTGTTAAAATTAGTATAATATGCTAAACTTTAATAATAAGCATTGAAATTCCGTCTCCAATTATATAATACAAATTTTAATCCAATATCAAATCAAATTTTAGTTCAAAATCATAGTTTTATAATTAGCTATTAATTATGTTATTTATTTTTATCTTCAAATTGTTTTTTTATTCTTCAAATTTTTGATTATCTTAAAGATATTTTTTCTTTGCTTTGTAAAATTCAACGCATTAATTATCATTTTCATACATTTATTTATAAATACTATATTAACCATTTAATAATTATTGAAATGCTTAATCCCAATTATTGATACAAGCTATTCTTGAACTTTTATTAATTTTAACCAAAATTAAAGAAAGCCATTTATGATGCTCTTTTAATAATTAATTTTTGTCTTTAATTAATTCATAAAGAGGATTAATAGTATCCTTAATAACTTATGCATCTTTAATAGATCCATCAATAACTAAAAATCCAATAACTTTTTTTGTCTTTTTTAAATAATTATATAAATTAATCCTATGAGCTATACGAGTATATTCTGATATATTATCATCAAAACCAGGACAATCAAAATACCAAACATCATCTATTTGTGTACCTTAGATCATTTATGTCTCACTCATGAAACCATGTCCAATATTAAATTATGATTATTATCCATCTTTAACAACATAACATTACTCTGAAAATTCCTTTTTAATAGTAAGAATTTAAGGGTTTTAAATCAAATTTAATATAGTACTCTTTCCTACTTTACTTTTTCCAAAAAAAAAAACTCCTTTTTCAATATCCTGTTATGGTTAAGGTTAAAGATTTTTTGATATCATGTTCAATTGAGAAAGCTTAGACTCTAAAAAATCTTTGAAATATGAATTCCAAAAATCCACATTAATGGCAAAATTCTAAAGTGATACAAGAAGGACATCATCATATTGATATTGATGATATTTTCGTAGAAATTCATCTATTAATTTCAAGTGATTTGATTCTAATAATTACATTTTAATAAAAAGATCCTCAAATGTGCATCTTTTCATTTTCAAAAATTATTCAAGATGTTATTTGTTTAAATTTTTCAACTATATGTTAATAGAACTACCAATATTCATATTTAAATGATTTATTTTATAGACAATTTTCCAAACCAACGAGAATTTGGGTTTTTTGTATAAACTAAGGATTTCATTTAATTATTTTAAATAATTTCCTAAAGATTATTACAACTCAAAAAAATCAGTAAGTTTAGGTATTTACTGTAAATTCAATAATTAGATCTAAAATTGTTCTATTTTATTATTGACAAATTCAAATAGTTATTCTTGAACTTTCATTATTTCACTACTCATTTCTCCATAGTTAAATTAAATGGGATGTTTAAGAATTTAAAAATAAAGGAATTCATTTTTTTTGAATATATTTCTTAAGATTTTTTGTTGTTCGATTTCAATAAAGTTTAAGTTATTCTAAGATTTTAGAGTTATCAAATAAGTATAAGAAAACTAATTTTTTCCATATTAATTGATTAGTGAAATTTTTTCCTTTTTCAATATAATTCTTCCGAAATTCAAAAATTCATAATCGATTATAATTTTAAGTTTTTCTTCTTCAGAATTTCCTTATAACTTCTAATAATTTATAACTACATGAATTTCAGATTTCTTGAAGTTTATAAAAATTTATTCTAAATTTATTTTGGAAAAAAATAGTTTTATTTTTTCATCTTCTTGAGAGCATCTGTTTAAGGAGTATGGGCTATTAATCAGATAGGAAGAGTGTTTATCTTTTTTAATCTTAACTATCTTAAAGAATTCATTTTATTGAAGACATTTTTTATCAATAAAATGACTATACAATTAATCAAATTAGTTGTGCTAAAATCCCAAAAATAAAACAATTTTATCAAATGATTATTAATTCTATATCGTACAAGGTATTATATTCAATTCAATGGATAGAATTTATTATGATATTTACTTCAAATAATCTTGATCCTCAGTCTCATTATTCTATATTTATTGCATTTCTATTAAAATTTTTTTATAATATTCAAACTAAAAAAATTAATTTTCAATATCATTATCATTAATTATATTTATAATTTTCTTTAAGTACTATTTTTAATTTCTATTTTATCACCAATATCTATACTCAAATTTGGCTTTCATTTAAATTAATTATTAAGGTGATTTGCTTAATTAAGTTAGATAGAAACATTTATTTTTCATTCATTTAAATGGAAAAGCTGATATTTATTCTATAATACAAAAATGTGAATAAATTAGTTAATTTCAAAACAGATTATAGTAATTTATTTTATTTGATAATCCTGAGAATTTCATCTCCATTATCATTTATACTTTATATATCAAGAAAATAAATAGCCGATATTGTTTATGTTGCAATATTGATCATTTAGCCACTTAGAAAAATATTAATTTTACTTTGTAGAAATTGAGAATAACCTGTAAATTATTATTTCGAATTATAAATTTTATAATGTTATACACGTTCACATTATTTTTATTAAATTACTTATCCTTAAAAGATTTATAGTTATTTATTGTCCTTCGCTACTTTTTAAACCTTTAAACATAATGATCTATTTAGTTTATCGATACTAAGAGATTTTTTCAATTTTACTTTGTATAATATCATTTATCGATTATCATTAAATAAATTATTTATTCTAAATAATTTTTGTTTTGATTTAATAATTAAGAATAATAGCAAACAATTTCTCATTTTAATGTTTTTTGGATTATTGTTGCTACAATTATTGAGTATAAATTATTAAATTAAAAAATAAAAGTTANATAAAGGAATTCATTTTTTTTGAATATATTTCTTAAGATTTTTTGTTGTTCGATTTCAATAAAGTTTAAGTTATTCTAAGATTTTAGAGTTATCAAATAAGTATAAGAAAACTAATTTTTTCCATATTAATTGATTAGTGAAATTTTTTCCTTTTTCAATATAATTCTTCCGAAATTCAAAAATTCATAATCGATTATAATTTTAAGTTTTTCTTCTTCAGAATTTCCTTATAACTTCTAATAATTTATAACTACATGAATTTCAGATTTCTTGAAGTTTATAAAAATTTATTCTAAATTTATTTTGGAAAAAAATAGTTTTATTTTTTCATCTTCTTGAGAGCATCTGTTTAAGGAGTATGGGCTATTAATCAGATAGGAAGAGTGTTTATCTTTTTTAATCTTAACTATCTTAAAGAATTCATTTTATTGAAGACATTTTTTATCAATAAAATGACTATACAATTAATCAAATTAGTTGTGCTAAAATCCCAAAAATAAAACAATTTTATCAAATGATTATTAATTCTATATCGTACAAGGTATTATATTCAATTCAATGGATAGAATTTATTATGATATTTACTTCAAATAATCTTGATCCTCAGTCTCATTATTCTATATTTATTGCATTTCTATTAAAATTTTTTTATAATATTCAAACTAAAAAAATTAATTTTCAATATCATTATCATTAATTATATTTATAATTTTCTTTAAGTACTATTTTTAATTTCTATTTTATCACCAATATCTATACTCAAATTTGGCTTTCATTTAAATTAATTATTAAGGTGATTTGCTTAATTAAGTTAGATAGAAACATTTATTTTTCATTCATTTAAATGGAAAAGCTGATATTTATTCTATAATACAAAAATGTGAATAAATTAGTTAATTTCAAAACAGATTATAGTAATTTATTTTATTTGATAATCCTGAGAATTTCATCTCCATTATCATTTATACTTTATATATCAAGAAAATAAATAGCCGATATTGTTTATGTTGCAATATTGATCATTTAGCCACTTAGAAAAATATTAATTTTACTTTGTAGAAATTGAGAATAACCTGTAAATTATTATTTCGAATTATAAATTTTATAATGTTATACACGTTCACATTATTTTTATTAAATTACTTATCCTTAAAAGATTTATAGTTATTTATTGTCCTTCGCTACTTTTTAAACCTTTAAACATAATGATCTATTTAGTTTATCGATACTAAGAGATTTTTTCAATTTTACTTTGTATAATATCATTTATCGATTATCATTAAATAAATTATTTTTAATAATTATTGAAGATTATGGAATAATAAATGATTATTTATAAATCCTGAATTTGGTTTTATAAAACTTAATAAAAAGAAAAAACCAAGCAGTCAGACAGTATAAATTACTTTTAATCATTTTAATTTTAAGAATAGGAATAAAGTTGAATTTTCGATTCATTGATATAATATCTCATATGATGAGTATTTTTTAGATTTATTATCCCAAAATACTAAATATTTTCCATTATTGGTCATAGTTCCATAAGATTCTTGATCTTAACAATTTATTGATGCTAGAATTTTAAATTTGCCATCGTTTAATTGTCTAATCAAATAGATATGATTTTTGTGTCTTACCAATATCACATTTCTATCTTTATTATGTATAATTGGAAAAAATACACAATCTTCGCATTCATGATTCTTAATTAAAGTAATTGTTTTATCTTAATTCTGTTTAAAAACTCCATTCTATTATTCAAATTCCAAAAGATCATCAATTTACTTATCTAAAGGTACCCAAAGAAATTGTTGATCATTAATAAAATGGATTTTCTATCCTGCTGAAACACTTTATTTATATTTGAATTCCCATTTTCCTTATGATTCTTTCTCCCATATTATAAATTCATGATACCCACATGATGCCAATACAGTTTCAGATTAATTTAAACTGATTGAAAATACAATATTACTATGTTTATCTAGAGAATACAAAAAAGTCAGATCATTTTTTATAAAATCTACTTACCATACAATTATTCTACAATCTAAACCTCCTGAAATAAGTTGATCCTCCTTTTTATTTAATATTAAACAATAAACTTAATCTTTATGTTATTTAAATGGTTATGAACACTTCCACTCATTTTAGTTAATTTATTGCCAACAGATAATTTCTTGTAAACCACCTCCAGAAATAAAGCTATTTTTCTATTTACTATAAACCATACAATAAACAGGATTTGTATGTGTATTATAAAAATTAGATAATTTAAATCTTCCTTATTCAAAATTCCAAATTCTGATCTCACAATTATTACTTGAAACCATAATTGATCCATCTTTATTGAATACTATTGCTTAACAATATCCAATCTATTGATTTGAATCATCAATTAATTTAAATTAAACTTATTTATACATCATCAATTATTATGAAAATTAGTTCTATTCATTGTCATCTTAAATCAATTGTAATTATATCTAAATTATAAATTAAATAGTTTACTTCATTCATTATTTACTCTCTTAAATTTATCTCATTAATATTTACTAACTTTTATATGATTTCTTCACATTTCTGACTTTCTTTAAATTATTTAAATAAAATTAATTTCTTATTAAATTTTTGATTCCATGATAAATTAATTTTATTTATTTGATCAATCAATAATTTTTCATTGAATTCATCTAATTTTTTTTAATTAATTAATTTGTCCAATTCATCATAAAAACTATAAGTTACATTTTATTATCCAATTATTAGTACCTGTTTGATCCATTCATTAACATTTCCATTTAAATAATCTAATTATTGAACAACATTAGATTTTAATTAATAAAGATCTTTTTAGAGCTATTCAATCAGTTTGATACTAATCATCATAACATTCTCAACAGACTCTTACTTTTATTTCTAATTTTCTTAGATAAGTTGTAAGACTTTCGTAAAACTTCTCAATTGAGTTTGTGATTCTAAATTTTTCATACATTCAGAGCATAAAAGTCTTTGATTCCTTTTTAATTTTGTATCATCAACAATCATCAAGATAGGATGTTTATGTTTTTATGAACAATAAAGTTCCTCTTCTTCTTCGATCATCTTAGATTAAATCATATTTTAATAGTTATTATTTAATAAAAAAATTAATTTTAATTAATAATGTCAATAGATTCTTGAATTCATGTAATTACTTAGAATTATAGAAATATGAGTATCATAGTGTAAAGTTAGAATAATGATAATTAAGGATATAACAACTTTTATGTTTATTATTTATGAGAGAGTAAACAGTATTATAGGTAATCTATTTCAGATTATAATTCAGTCTATTATTTTGCTTAAAATTAAATGATAAATCTTGTTTCATTTAGTATGAAAATAAAGCAAGATTAAGAGGCTTTATATAAATTAAATTCTCAAATAAGTATTCATAAATAAGTAACATACTTATCAAAAATAAGGATTTTGTCCCTCTCAAAAAATTGTTGGTTTAAAATTGATATATAACATTATATAATCATTAATTTATAATTCAGGACTCCTTTAACAAATGATATGTAATTCATTATTGTTAATTATAATTTTTTACTAAATTATTTTTGTTACAAATGAATTAAATTTTTATGAGTTTTAGATAATTTTTCTTCTGGAATATTACCAGTATTATTTTATTGAAATAAGAAAGAGTAATACGAAGGTAAAAACTAAAAATTTAAACCTTTTAATAATTTATTAAGTATTCATTTTGAATTAAATTATAGATATAATCTTATCATTGTTGAAGCATAATTATGCATCTATAATTGCTTTATTTATCAAATATAAAAATATATAATTCTTTATAGTTCCAAAAACTATCTAAAAAAACAGTAACAGCAATTTTAATTCCTTAAATATACAAAAAAATAAATTTGATATTTCGTATTCTCACCCTTAAATTGCCAACTTTTAATGTGATCTTAAATTGATACATCAAAAAATGAAGTATTTTTTTTCTAAATTCTTGAATTTAAGATGAATATTGAGATAATGTTACATGAACTTTGCACTATCAATTTAAAAATAACTTAAAACAAACATTCATAATTGCAAATTCTGATGAAAAAATAATTAAAATAAGAGTTTATATCAATTAAGAAATTGAAATATTTAAGAATTTATTTTTTAATGAACAAAAATAAAGAAGAATTTGATTAGGACTTCAATAAACATTTATATTCGATTTCATAAATTCATTCATTTCCGATATTGATGTTTGAGAGAATATTTTTTTTACCTATTGATCGATAAGCTTATGTTAGTAGGCATTCTTTATCTAAATAACTTATAACTTTTCTAGAGGTTTGGGTTTGGGAATTCTTATAATTTTAGAAATTTGGAATATCATAACATTAGTGTTAGTGCATAAATGTTGTTCATGTAACAATATTAATGAATCTTAAAAAATATGAAGTAAGAAGTTGATTTATAATTATTAATGCTAGAAATTAGTGTTGTAATTTAATCATCAAATTATATTTTAATATGCCATAGGATTATAACTAGAGCTAAAAAAATTAAAGCAATGGCTTTGTAGTCTGATAGATAAAGAAAAGATAATGATTATTAGATGAGGGGATTACAATAAGAAGAGAATCAATTTTAAAGTTTTCTAAAATTGATTGAATAATAATGACATCACATATGATGGAAAGGTAATGGGGAAAGAAAGATAATCTAAACAGATGAAATTTAGGTATTATTTGCTAATATAAAATATGGGATTTTCTTTCATTTAGTAAATCAATACAATAAAATATAAACCCAAATTTACTTTTATTATCACATATTTTTCAAAGTTCTGATTGATGAAGTGAACATTAAATTAACATTTTTTGTTAATGTCGATTATATTTGTTGTTCTTTGATAAATTACAAATTTATAAAGATTACTTTTTAATTACTTTTAAGAGCAATATTAATCAGCAGGCATACTTTTCCTTTTGATCAGTTATAAGTGTTTATTATGATTACTTCAATTATTAGTTTGTTAAATTTTGATTAATGAACAATTACCTATTATCTTTATTATTATTAAAGAACTTGATCTTACTTTTTTAATTATTAATATATATACAGCTAGCTATCATTAATCTCTAATATATTCTTATTATGTTCCATATTTTCATAATCATTTTGTTTTTAGTTGAGCCATTACTTTTTCATTGATTTGTTCTATAGATTCATGGAAGTATTATTTATATTTTGAATTTTTAGTTGTGAATTCCAGTAAATCTATACTCACATTCATAACAGATTCCTAATAACAAAATGATGGAATAATTGATACAAGAATAATGAAATTAACATCAACCATCTTTTTTAATCTGATTTTCGTTATCAAATTTTCCTATCCATGAATTACTTTATCTTCAAATAATAGGATGACAATTCTAATAGTATTAATCTTAAATCTAATTATCTTCAGACCTTGCACATTAATTACCTTAAAAATCTATAGAAACTTAGGAAAAATGTTGAAACTTTATTTCTGTAAAATAGTTCAAAATTTCTAATTAAACTTTTAGAGATAGAATCCCATTACATTAAATATAATATTTAGCAATATTTAAATTAGAAATTGTAAAATTATTTAATCTAAAGCTCCAACCATCTTTTATTTTATAAATTTATAAAGAAATGAATATTCATTCAATTTATAATTTAATCAAATTATTTAATGAACCTATATATTATTAATACTCAATTTTTATCTTAATAATCTTACTTTAACAAACTTCAATACTCATCTAAAAGCTTTTCTATGATTTTTATGAATTATCGTAATTGTTTTAAAATATTCCATTTTAGAATAATTACAGATATAGATTTCTTGTGTGGATCCTTAATTTCGGCTTTCAAAATTTATTTGTAGAAACAAATCTGGAATCTTATAACTGTCAATGCTTATCTTAAGACTTAAATTTATTTCAGGACTTTTACATCGATCCTATATTATTAAAAAGATTCTATATCCAAAATACTCTTCTGTTATCATAATATTGAATCTTTCTATTATTAAATGAGATTCAGTTATCAAATTCTAGCCAAAATTGAGGTTATAAATCAGTTAAAATACCATATTTTTCTTTAGTACTAGCATCAAACTAATAAATCAAATTTTGATTAGACATTTAGGCTAAAGTAATATATCTATTTAATAGTTAATAAGTATAATAAATAGAGTTTTAAAATATTCCAAATTTAATATCCTAAATAGATTCTTTAAAGTTAATTAAGTTTGATTTCTTTATTTTTTCATAAGCAATAAATTATATTAATTTATCTTGGATTTATTTTAAAGGCATACAGAAGTAAATGTATCTACATAATAGTTAATATTTTGATGTTAGCAAATTATAGAGATATTAAAAAATAAGGTAAATAAATACTAATCCTAAACATCTTAATTAGAATTATAATAACAAAAGTGTTACATTTATTCAGATGATTAAAAGAATAAACCTTATTAATATTTTTTTGATAAAATTTAATCAAAATTAACATTTCTGCTTAAAATATCTAATGAAATAATTTTATATTTTAATATTACAATTTGAATTAAGAAATTCAGTAATGCTCATTTTCAAAAATAGCTTTATTTTAAAATATAATTAATAGTGACTCTTTGAAAAGAAAATTAAACTTCTAATTATATGAATTATTAAGAAATTTAATTACAAGAATTATCAAATAAAGTCATTTCGAAGATTGAATATAAGCATATTTATTATTTCTATTATAAAAAAGACTCTTATTTGAGATAGTAAGTGAAATTATTCAATGATAAACTGTATACTATCAATATAAAGTATATTTTTTTATAATTTTAAGAAAATGATAAAGTAAAACAATTTTACTTGGTAATTAATACAAATAAACTTATTCTAAAGTAAAATCCAGAGTAAAAAGTAGCAGATTTAAGACTAAATATTGATTATATTCAAACGATTAGTAAGTTATTATACTAATCCATTTCAAGAATATACACTAATCCATAAAAATTACAAAATTATAAGTAATAATCTATGAACTAAAAAATTATAATAAACATAATGAAAGTTAAATTTAGTTTTAATAAGAATTACTTTCTTTTTCTTTGATTATATATTACATATTTGGCTATGTTTAATTATGATTCAAAAGATGATAAACAATACTTTTTTAATTAAAATTTCTTATATATTTTATCTAAATTAGTAAAAGTTTATTAAATAGTTAACTAGATAAGTTTTTTATTCATATTTAGGTCTGAACTGATTTTTCTATTTGATAAAATGAGAAATTTTACGTTTATTAAAACCTTTTATTTTTCTGTTAAAATTCTGTCAATTAATTGCATATTAATTTTAAGTATCAATGATTTTCACTAAATAAAATATTAAATGAATTCTGATAATTTTTTTGAAGATAATTAGATAATCAAAAAAACCAAATGTATAAATACTTTCGATTTTAGACAATGAAAAAAGTAGATAGAGTAGAAATATTGATGGATATTAATATTGTGATTAGCATTATTAGGAAATTCACTTCTAGATTGAATACTGTCAAGGAGATAGTATTACATATATTAAGGACGGTTAAATCTTATTAAAGTAATACTTTTTAACTAAACTCTTAGAGATTGGATAAATGATAACTTTTCAGATTAATAGATCATAACCAACTTTGATTTTCTGAGATATTTATTATGGGATGGTTAATATCATACAAAATAAAAAATTGGCAGATGGACTCCATATTGGAAAGGTAATAGATTAGATGCTGGAGGCATTTATAATGAAGAAGGCTTAAAAATAGGAAAATGGATAGAACCTGTCAATATGTTTGGGGAGTATGTCTAATTATTTAAATTATAGAACTGATAGGGTTAACTTTGTTGGTTTATATAAATAAGGAATAAGAGTACGAAATTGGCAGTATTTTTTATATTACTACCATCATGAAACTAAAAAATTTATTCTCCATTTCAAAGGAGGAGGTTATTTTAATGACTCAGGAAATAAATAAGGAAAATGGATAGAATTAATTGAGGGATTTACAGAGTATTAAAATTAAATACATAATAGTGAATCTGAAATAATAAGTTATGGAGAATATAAAGATGGAAAAAAAATTGGTATATGGGACACATACTTCAATAAAAATCTCCTGTATTCATCAATATTTATTTAAATATCAGTTTTAGTGGATGTTATGACATGAATGGAAGAAAGAATGGATAATGGTAGGAATTGCATTAATACTTCAATAAGTTAACAATTTTAAATATTTTTAGAGAATCAACTGTCTATTATACAGGAAATTATAAATAAAATGTAAAATATGGTCATTGGGGGATGGAATTTCCTGATTATAATTTTTTTATTGAAGAATAAGAAGAAGAAGAGAAAACTAAGTTTAGAATAATTAAATTATTATTATAGTTTTGGAGGTAAATATGATAAAAATGGAATTAAAATTGGAAAATGGGTTGAATTTCATGAATAATTTAGGTTATCTTTATATATTTAATATAGTAAATCTCAAGTGATATATATTGGAGAATATAAAAAAGGACTCAAATTTGGAGAATGGAATATAGTTGACTAAAATGAAGATGTTATGTATAATGAAATTAAAATAGATAGAGGAAGCGGATCATATAATAAAAAAGGTTAAAAAGATGGAGATTGGAAAGAAATATATTATTCTGAAGCTTCTATCATGTATGAAGGAGAATATAAAAATGGAAAAAGATTTGGAAATTGGAATATTTTAGACGATAATGAGACAATGTAAGAATGCTTTCATAAATTAATTTAGTGGAGGTGGTGAATATGATGATAATGGAATGAAATAAGGATAGTGGACAGAGTTTCATGAATATTTTATAGAGTAAATAATTCATAATATATTAGTAATAATCACATATATTGTGAAGGGCAATATTTAAATAATAAAAGAATTGGAAAATGGGAATGTTATTGCACAATTTCATTTGGAATGTATGAAGAAGTGAAAAAAATGTGATTAAAACAGTTTTATTTATAGAGGTTGTGGTGAATATGACAAAAATGGATTAAAAAATGGATATTGGATAGAATTAAGTGATGATTTCTGGATGTAAATATGCTCAATATTCAAGTCTACATAAAATAATTTTTTGTGGAACATATAAAGATGGATTTAGAATAGGTACTTGGGAAATTCATAAATATAAATTATCTAATTAAGAATTTGAGAAAAAGTATTAAAATATATAATTAATTAAAAGAGGAGGAGGAGATTATGATGAGAATGGAAGAAAGCATGGAATATGGATAGATGTCAGCACTGATATTTATAGGTTAAAGAATTAATTATAATTTTCAGGAATGATCTGATATTCATTCAAGGAGAGTATATAAATGGAAAAAAGAATGGAGAATTTATATAAACATTCTGATGTTTTAATTTACAAAATAAATATTTATAATTTTATTATAAAATACAAATTAAAAGATCAAAAAATGAATGTTACTTATAAATGACCTAAAGAAAATTAGAAAATCTGTTTTAATAATTATTCCAATCCTTGATAATTTTAAATCCTTAAGAATCCCTAAAATTTATTATGATACAAACTTAGGAAACCTTTTTCGGATCCATAAATATTCTTAAACGATTTAAAATAGATGATATCCGTTCATATCACTTTTAATACATCATTTATCTTTAAAGAAGTTTATTAAAATAATCTAAAAATTATAATTTTGGTTTATTTTTAAAGAAGATTATCAAAAAAAATCTATAAAAATATATACATAACTTAATAAATTCTAAAAGACTTGATGTGAATATAATGAAAGATGGCATACAACATGGAAAATGGTTTGATTTAATATAAGATTTTGATGAGTTTAATTATTTCATATTTAGTGATTGTAATTTTATCATTTTTGTGACTACTATTACTGAAAAAAATAAAAAGTTTGGAATGCATGAATGTAAAGATTAGATTACAATACTAAATGTTATTTTTAATATGCTTAATATAGTGTTTGTGGAATTTATGATGAAAATGAATTATTATAGAAAAGGAAATCAATAGAAGAAGTATAGTAAAGTTAAAAATATTAAATATCTGAAAATTCAACATTAAATAATGAATTTTTAAAGCTAATAACATTAAATTGAGCAGCTAATTTGATCTATCAGGTTTATAAAAAATAATGATATAAGCACTTTTGCAATCATCTTATCTTTTTATTAACATCAAAACATACTCCTTATAAATAATTCGAAAAATAGTTTGAGTGCATTTATTTCCTATTTCAATCTTTAATTTTAGAAATAGTAATCAACAAAACGAATGTAAAATAGATAGGAGAATATTTCAAAGGAATTAAATAAAGTGAATGGGAAACATTTGTAAACAAAAACTAGGGATTAGAACAAATATACATCATTATTTCACTTTTATATTTAGTATATACAGAGAAGATAGATTTTTATTTAAATTCTAATTATAATCAATATAATGAATTAGAATTTTAGTAATAGTTAAGCATTTAAAATATCTAGGAATTTGGATTTTTAGTAATGTTAAAGTTCTGTAATATTGAAAATACCTAAAGTGAACAATAAAATACTTATTGTTTTAATTCTGTGGATCTCTAAAGCTTATAATTGGGAACTTAAACTTCAACTTTGTTAGACATTTATTCTTCCTGATATCATTTACTTTAATATGAATGCATCTAAACCTATATGTTGGATTTAAGAGTTTCCTTCATAAATTTGGTATAAATTTATAATATAATAAAATATCCCTAAATTTTAGACAGCATTTAAGAAATTTAATAAATATCAAACCCTTTTGGATCTTTTCTCTTGTTAATTCATTTTCTAATAAATGATGAGCCAAAAGATAAATAAAAAAAAATTTGCATTTTGGTTCAATTATATTACAAATTTCAATTCTAAATCGGTTATTTCAAATCTTATAAAAATTTATAAAAAAAAATTAATGTCCAATCAACTTGTAAATCATTTAGTTTAAAATTTAAATATTACTTAATATTATACAATTATATTATAAAATATCACTAATTAATTTAATATAATAATATTATCATCTAATATACTGCTTTTTAAATAAATAAAAACGATTTATTGATCTTTAGCCAACTCAAAATTTGAAATCGAATATTTTACCTTTTTACAGATAATAATTCTAATCTTAAAGTAATATATATGAAAGTTCAAATTCAATTCATTATAATTTGTCCAAGTTTCAAATATCATTAATGAAAGGATCTGAAATGAATATAAAATATAGTATTAGTTTATTAGATTCGTTGTGGCAATTAGAATTGGAAACTCAACTTAAAGAGTATATTAAATAACTAAAACAGTTTTATCATAAAAATAAAAATACCTTTATTCTTGACTATGGGATTTTTTTTCAAGTGATTATGAATAACTTACTTATAAGAAATTGATATAGTATTTGTCACATTTATTTATAGTCTTTAAATGTAAAATTTAATCTTTTTTAAATTTTTCAGAATCATGGTAAAAGACACCTAGGATTTTCTAAATGTACATAAAGATACTTGAAGAAGTTACTTTATTCTTTAAAATTTATATCATGGTCGATTACAAAGGATTTCACCTTAAAATAGTTATCTTTATAGGTGATTTATCCATTTATATTATTATCACAGCCAACATATATTGAATCTTAAATAATCTCTGATCTTTGTATCCAACGTTTCTTAGGTAACAAAAATTTACTTCTAATCAAGATTCTGAGTAGGAATTTGCTAGTTTGAGTAACTATAAAAAATTTCAATATTAGTCTCAGTTTTTAAGTGATAAAATAGATAATAAAAATTAAATTATTACTTATTATATTCAATGTCCTTAATTATTTCTATTTTTATTTTGTATTATCAAAGAGTATTAACTATTGTTTGTGTGTGCTCTAATTAACTTCATTCAAATATTCAAAATCAATTGTTAAGAATTTACATGATTATAAAATTAAAATTGAACTTTTATTATATATTTTCATTACTCTTTATATCTCCTAATCTGTATTATATTTGATTTATCATCCCAAGTGATCAAATACTCTCCATCATCACTCATTACTCCATATAAACAATTAATTCCAAAATGAATAGACTATTCAGTTCGAAACTCTCCATTTTATTATTTCCTTATCAAATTAACATATTCTCCATTCTTACTCACAAGAATACATTTTGAATTTATATATTACTAAGGAAATCTTGAAAAATTATCTTTTCCACATTTTATTGTAATATCTCTAGTCTTGGTAAACTATTTATTGTTAGGGTTCATCTCAAAAACAGATATCTATTCTTTATCTCTTTATGAGAATGTGAACATATTATTATCTATAAAACATACATACTCGATATCCATACTATTCAGTTTTAATCTTTTATATTACTTTCCACTCTGTATTCTATCCTAATTATTCTATTATTATTATATTTTAATCATTTCCACATGAGACAACTCTATTTTATTATTAATTTAAACTTAATCCTAATATGCGATTAGAATGATCATCTATTGTTTATTAACACATCCATTCATTCTTTTTTATCCAAAATTTAATCGTTTTATCTTCACTCCCTGATATAATTAGATCTTCATTATTATTTACTACCAAACATTAGATCGAATTATTATGTCCATTTAATATTTATTAATAACTCCATAAATTTTTTTAATATTTCCATATTATTATAGATTTATCACGACTTCCAGATATAAATTATTTAGATTTCTACATGAAATTTAAAGTAAAGACCGAATCCTTATGTTTAGTTAAAGTTTAAATTTGCTTGATAATTCCTTTGTTGAATTCAAATACTTTTATTAGAGATTCACATCCAGCCACTAATGTTGAACAATCTTTATCGATAGCTAAAGCAAAACATAATTCACTTTATGAAAATTAACATTCTTCAACTATTTAATAATTGAAAGATTTGAAATTCGATTGATGACTAGATTAAATAATTTCTGATGATGGTATTTTTATTTTAGTATTCAATGATTCTATTTCTTAATTTTTATTTTATATATTAATTTATTCTTATTAATCATTAAGAGTAAATTTCTAAGAACCTAATTCTAAACACACTAAAAGTTCCATACATTTATCATATCCAACAAATGAATTAAATTATTTTATTTTGGAATTAAATTTTGAACTCCAAGAAAAATTGGTTTTTTAAATTTCTTAAATTTATAATGTAGTATCAACTTTATTCTAATTTAAAAATATAATTTCGAATTCTTCGAAAAAACTATATTGAGTATAAGATGATCGTTGTTATTTTAGATTTTTAATCCATTCAATTATTATAGCAATCAATTAGTCTAATTATTAGAGTAAATGTGATTTCATTTGTACAACAATATTATTTAATGATTCAATTAATTTGAATTAGTTCTACATGATATTTTCTACTGTTTCCATCTTCTTTATCCATTTTTCTTCAATTTCTTAAATAACTTTCTTTAATCCAACCACTTTATAATCTATGTATGTATTTTCTAAACATTCTGTGCACATAAGTCTCTGATTTCTAGATAATTTTGGATCAAGTGCAATTGTAACAACTGGTAGCTTATGTCCTTTAGAGCAACAAAAATCTTATTGATTTTCTATCATTTTTGGTTTATACATTTAATTAAAAAATAAATTTTTATTGGAATTAATTTTCATTTTATTGTAGTTTAAGTTAAAATGTATATTCTACTTTTTTTAATGCTTTCCATAAAGAAAAGGTTTTCCTCTATGTTAATTCTTTTTTGATTTTTTTATAATAATAAACAAAAAGGGGTTAAGTGGATGGATCCATGAACTCGTTCCTAAATGATTAATTAACTACATAATTTGCGATTTGATTAAATCTATTGATAAATTTTAATACTACCTTACTTCTTAAAATGCATATCTTCTATAAAAGTGATGTATATACAAATTCAAAATTTATTATCATTATTATTTCCTATATAATACATTTTTTGTAATTAAGTTTACCCACTTTCATTTTAGTTTAAATCTACAATTTTTTATTGCAATTTACTAATCCTTATGTATTTGGAATGTTATTCAATGCAAATAGGGTATAAACAAATAATTATTGAATATCTCTTCTTCTTTATATGTCACAATGTAACTGACTCTAGCAGTTTTAAGGTTTACTTTAATATCTATTATCACTTATTAAAAAATCTATATTTAAATGTTATATCTAAGATCTGCTTCCTAATAAATCGTCCTTTTCTAATCCAAAGAATGAATCTTTATATTTTCCTTAATTATATGTTAATTTTTATTAACAATTTATTTAATTTTCTAGGTTCCAATTCTCATTCTTTGCATCAACTATATAATTGGAATTGTAAAATGAAAATTCTATTAATCCATTTTTTTGATGTTAGTTAAAATGAAATTCTTTTTCTTATAAATCCAATTGGTAGTTTTTTCAATACTACTGTCTGTGTTATAATTTAGCCCTCAACTATTTAATATATCTAAAACAACATCAAGTTGATAATAATCTACTTTACGATTATTAAATTATCAAGACAATAAGGATTTTAATAGATTATGATCTTTTTATTTACAAAATGCTTTTTGTGTTTTTTTGTAGAATACTGCTTTATAATAGAGAAAAGTTGTAGATCATTTACGAGACAATTGTGATGCAATTTGATTGAAAAATCAACAAATATTGTTAGGTCAAAATTAGGCTATAAAGTCTGATCAGTCAAAAATAATGTTGATTATATATAACTAGTTCCAACAAATGCTAACATAGTAACTGAATCAATGATAGAATTGCTGCAATGAATTAGAACTCCATACTATCTAAATGCCATAATTCAAAATCAACAAGTTCATCTGATGAAGTTTTCATAACCAAATTTAATTTGGCTAAACTTGAATAAAATTTAAAAAGTAATTTGGATAAGCCTCTCTCTATAAAACCACAAATTACTTGCCCTTCATTCATTACAAATTATGCTTAAAAATTTGAGTTCCATTCATAAATACTTTAAACCATACATAATTTCAAGGGTTTAATGTGATCTTTAATATTAACATTTAATAAGCATAAAGTTTTTATAATTTGAGATTTCTATGAATTACAACATTATCCATAATTCTTAAAATATTTTTAATCAATATTTTGTAGAATAATCATTTGTGAATTAATAATAATTATACATTATATATTCTTTCTAGTTAAAGCATAATTCAAATCATTGTTATCAAACATTTTGATTTAATGGAATTACAATTCAACAAGGTTGATGATGGTCATAATTTTATCCTGCATTCATTCATATTCAATAATTTGCTTAACTCCTTGTTTCTATCAATTATTGAACTAAATATTAACATAACATTCTGTATTAGTAGGAAATAAAATAAATTTAATCAAATTCAAATAAAACCCTTTACTAGCAAATAAAAGAAAAAGATTTATCAATACTCGAAAATTTAATATTCCTGTTACCCTCAAAAATGAAAAGATCCTCTTTAATATATTTAATTACGAAACAATTAATGGTTGTTCTTTTGATTTGATAAACTAATTTTAGATTTTATATGAGAATGCTTGATCATATGATAATATCAAAGCAAACCCAGGCTGTAATAAATTATTCTTTACTTCCTGTAAAATCATATATAACCAATAAGCCAATTCTGCAAATCAAATTATCATAATTTTAGCTTATAATTCATAATCTAAATTATTGATTTTTTAATGATATAACCAATAATTGTTAAATTTTTGTAGTTGCTGTATTTCAAATTATTAATAGAAAAATATTAAAATGAAGAATCTTTCAAAACTACTATTTTTTCATATTATATATTAGATATAACTAAAGGATAATTTATTAAATTTAATCTTTATAAATTGATTATAAAATCTAAGTATTAATTTAACTAGAAATTAATTTAAATTAAAAAGATTAGATAAAATCTACTGAAATAGATATAAATTATTAACAAAAAATTGGGAAATACTTAAAGTGAATTATTTTACAAAATCAGGATCACCAATTTATTTGCATTTTTTTAAGAGATAAATCCAGCATTTTTAACAGAATCTAATTAATCTGTAGTGATTATCAATATTTAAGAATTACAATCTAATTTTATCAAAATGTGAAATATATTTAAATATATAGAAAAAAGTATTCTCAATTTTTAGATCAAAACTAATTCACTGTATAATTTATCAAAATCATTAATAATTAGATAGATGATTAAAAACATTAAATAATGGTTAATTAATAATTACATAAAATATTTATGAGAGATGAATTTAAATTATTAAGAAATATAATTTAATATTTCTCAATTTATTAGTTATTTATTTACTTAAAACAATTTCATTAACTAATTTATATATTACTAATCAAAGAATTTATGAGAAATAAATAAAACATGGTTATTTAAGAGAATGAATTAATATGAATAATTGTAATATATTTTAATAAATGATGATAAATATAAATTCATCAAACATCAACTAATGCAATTTATAGCAGTCTTTGTTTAAAGCTTGTGAATAAAGTTGATAATTTGAATTCCTCTTCAGAAATATTGATTATCAATAATTCATCTTTCAATATTATTTTTTGTAACTTAAATGAAAATTTAATTATATGATTAACAAAATTGTGACAATCATAAGACAATATTATATTTTTATCATAAACACCTTTCTAATAATTTGATTTAAAAAATTGGCTTTCTAGTTTTTTATTCTATTAACATGTAAAATCTATTTCTATATTTATATATGGAAAACCTGAATTCATAATTTCAATATATTAACCAATCTGATTGTAATTTTATTAATAAAACTCAAATATTTTCATTTGAATTCTACTTGTTTAATTAGGATTTTCTATGAAGGTTTAAGTTATTACAATATCTAAAAATTCTAAATTAGTATCTTCCTTTAAATAAATATTATCAAACAGTTAATAGCATTGATGTTAATAATAAAAATGCTATGTTGCACAATTTAAACATATACCAAGATAACAATTTATACAAGAAATAGGACAACTAAAAGAACATTGATGACATCCATCTTCAAATATTAAATTACCGTCATCACACTCCTCATTAACAAGTACTAATTTATCTCCACAAATTGGTTGACATTTACCATCAATATTTTAAAAACCACTCTAACAAACTTAACAACCATATCCTTAAATACTACAAATCAAACATGACTAATCACATCTTGGATCATGATAATCATTAAAAATTTTTATACATGAATACTTAACGTATTCATAACCTTCATAGCAATCATAACAAACACCACGAAGACAATTAGAACATTATATAGGACAAGTAAATGAACATTAATGACATCCATCTCCAAATATTAAATTTCCATCATCACATTCTTCATCCTATGTTATTATTTTATCCCCACATTTTGAATAACATTAACCATCGATTAAATTGTAACCTTATTTACAGACCTTACATCCAAGTCCAAAATTATCACAAGTAGTACATGAAGTTTAACATTTTGCTTAGCAATTTTAACAACCTTTATAAGGTAATGTTAATGAATCTTCGCATTGTTCGCCAACTACTACCAATAAATCTCCACAAATTGGTATACATATACTTTAATTAGATAGATAATATCCAGTAGCACAAATTTAACATCTATTATTTATACAACTAATGCAAATAGTTGAAATTTAACATTAAAATTTACAATCCTTACTACATCCATCATAATTAATTTTATTCCCATCATCACATTCTTCCGAATAAAATCCATATGGATCTGTTACAACCAACATATCTCCGCAGATATTTTTACAATAATACTTTTCTGGAACAAACCCAGGTAATTCACAATTTAAACAAGTGTTAGTGTCATAATTACAAGATGAACATCCAATTCTACAGAAATATTTACAATTTTAACATCCATCCTTATCATCTTAATTTCCATCATCACATTATTCTTATCCTACTATTTATAAATCTCCACATTTCTCTTTATATTACCATGGTTGAACTGTTAGATCAATTTGCCATCCACTAGTTAAACATTCAAAACACTCTCCTTTAATACATTTTGTACATTAGGGTTAGCATTAATATTTGCAATCAAAACATCCATCATATTTAATATTGTTTCCATCTTCACATTCTTCTATTCCAGTAACCATTCCATCTCCACAAATATCAGGACAAGGTAAAGTAGTTGATTCATTACAAGTTATACAATGAGCTGGACATTGAAATTAACAATTGTAACATAAATCATCCATTATGTTATTATTATCTTCACATTATTCATATCCAATTATTTGTAAATCTCCACAAATAGGTTCACATTTTCCAAATATTAAATCAAATCCAGAATCACAAGAAATACATGTATTTGTATGCCATAATTATTAATTATTAATACATAATAAATAACATGCACTTAATAATACATCTTCTGTAATAGGACAATCTAGAATGATAATTATTTTTATTACTTGTACAAACATCATCTAATTCATAATAACCAGGTTTACATTCACATTTTACTCCTTTTAATATTCTATTTAAATTAATATCACAACTTAAACAACCATCAATTGTTGCTTTATAACAAGTTTAACATGATTAATGACACTAGGAGCATGATTTAGAGAATTCTTAATAATAGAAACCGATTTGACATCTACATGTTGATCCCACATTCTCAATATTAACAATATTATTGCAAGTTAAGCAATCATTAAAAGTAGGTCCAGTACATGTGGAACAAAAATAATGACATTTTTCACATTTAGGATTCTATAAAATTGGATAGTATCCATCAATACAAATACATTAATGATTTTTTAAATATCGATTATTTGTAATTAAACAATTTAAACAGTTACTTAAACTTAAACATTAATTACATTCAATTGGACAATCATAACATTGATTAGAATCTTCAAATTAATTGAATTTACAAATGCATCCTAATTTAGTTTATATAAAAGTAGATTAGCATGTCTAACAATCTATTTTAGATGTACATGTTAAACAAGATATTGGACAATCTAAACATCTAACAGAATCCTTATCATAATATTGGTTACTTAAACATTCTTCTTAAGAGAATTTATTTACATTTGCATCATAATCACTATTCCATAATGTACATGTACTCTAATCTGAGCATTATAAACAATAGGGTTAGCACTTATGAATAGCAATATAATAATTATAAAATCCACAATAAGCTTTAATTGGTTCATTATTCGGCCCAAAACATTCCCAACTTATTGTTAATGTATTCGAGTCGTGATTTATCCTTTCATATACTTTATCATATTTTCCTCCTAAATTATTTGAACCCTAAAAACTATTACTAGATTTAGAGATTGGTGGATTATTTTCAATTGTATATATAAATAATCCATCAGATGGGAATGCTGGTCCATAAAGTATATAAAATGCAATTGTGATACTATGATGTGGATCAATTATATCATGAATCCTTTAAAATTTAGCCTATGCCCATATGTAAGGCCCTCCAAATATTCTTAGATTATTAAAATATGAATAATATATATCTGATCCTTTGATAAAATTTGTCCCATTTTAATAGATTAGTGTATAAGAACCATAGTAATAAGGGTCGATAGTATTATTTAGAAAATCATAAGTTAAATAATCAGAGTCTAGATATATATATATAGAATAAAATGATACATGGTGTTTCATCATCAAAATCTTAACAATAAGAACCATTTAATTTTTGATATGGTTAATCGCATTTGCTTATGCAAGTATTGTCCTTATATTTAAAATAACCACTTTGACAAATCTTACATTTGAATGATACCTCACACAATTAACAATATTAAGGACAATATCCTGATGTTACATAAACATATTATAATCCCCATCCTGCTGTCTCATCTCTAATTTATAATTTATTCTTTTTACGTGTAATTTCCTTTTACTGAAAATAGAAATGGAAAATTAGGAATGTCAATATATGTAATTAAAGATAATTATTGAATTGAAGTATAAGTTAATGATGGAGGAATGCTAGAAGTAGAATAGATTATTAAATTATGTGTTTAAATACCAGATTCATCTCTATAAATAGAACCAACATAATAATCATTAATCATTATTGATAATCCACAATTAATTGGAATATCATTATAAGTTACAATTGATATTTTCAATCCAATTAAATAAGTTGCATAAAAATTGGAATAATAATATTTATAGATACCAAAATTAAACATAAATACACCATATATACCGGAGTCTAGAATAGTTGGAGATATATCTAAATGTTCTGGGTCATATATAATAAACCATTAATTTTATATAGTTGATACCAAATCTTCTGAAAATTTGTAAACTAAGATATTTCAATTATAATTACCAGGATAATTATTGCAAAATCCTTTTTAATATAATGGTTAGTAGATATCACAAATATTTCGGCATCCATATTTTTTCTCAAAATATTAATTTGATGGGCAGGGTGGACAAATATAGTTTGTTGGTTCTCCATAATAACAAATTCTACATTGACTGTAATTATCTCCTAAACATGATTTACATAAATAATAACATCCAAATGGATCTGAAATATATATATTTCTAATTGAAACTTATCCATCATTTAAATTTGATGATGTAAACTTTAGATTTCCATAAGCTAAAAATGGAATTTAAAATGTAAAATTAAGAGTTCTGATATCAAAAGCAATATTATCACAAAATCCAGTTGATATTTGATAATTCGGGGGAGAAATGTAGTTATATGAATATGAAAAAGAGTCGAATGAAATAGTAACTGTTTCAGATGTCCATGTACCTTGAAAATATAAATCCACAGATACAAAACAAATTTTAGAAAGTAATAGAGTATCATTACCTTAAGCTGAGGGAAATACGCTATTTACAGTAATGTAACTTGTAGAAGGTGTTGTACAAGTTATAAAATTAGCTGTTGTTTAAGTGAACGGTATTAAAAAGTTTCCGGAATACTAATGCGCAGTTGGTCCATTCTAATAAGTATATTTATCATTTTTATATAAGTAATGATATATCAATCGCTAATATGAATTCCCAACTTCAATTAAGCCAACAAATATAATAACAAGAGACATCTTCATAATTTAAAAATTAATTCAATAATCGCAAATAATTTAGGTAATTAATGAATAATATATCTGATCGATTAGATTATAAATAATTTATATTTATATGGTTTGAAAATAGATTCATTTATTTTTAGTTAAAGGATCGATTTAATTTTGTTTATTGAAATTCCAGATATTCATTTAAAATCTAATTGATCTTTTTTTGCAATAATATTAATGTTTCTTCAAACTATTAAAATTTCTGATTTTCTTAAATCATTTTATTAGAATAAATAAATAATATAAAAATTGAATTCTCTTATACTATAATTTATCTCAGTTTTCTACATGATATGATATTTATTTAAAATATTTAATTTTGAGATGCATTTTCCATCTAGATATTTGATGTTTAATACTATGAATATAATTCAAGTTGACTTTAATAAAATTTCAAATAACAAAGATTTAATAATATTTATTATAAAATAAATTGTTTCTCTATCTCTTTTTATCAAAGAATGATGCTTTAAGTACAGATGTCAAATTGTGAGAATTAATTTAAATTAAAAATATTATTATAAATTAGTGTAATTTTATTTTCGATTATTTATAACATAATTCTATGTTCATTTCTTAGGACATTCTAATTTTCTTTAGGTAATAAACTAACTTTTTTTAATATTGAATAATTTATATTTCTTCATCAGTAATGATAGAAATAACCTAATTTATATCCAAATCACAAAATATATTAAATTCAATTAAATTAAAATATTATAAAACCTTATTTTAAATTACCTGAACTTTATCAAAAAAATCTATATTTTATATTTAAATCCAGACTTTGAAATTTTAGTTGGTCTTTATAAAAAATATCTATTTATATAATTAAGTTGTACTATTGTTATTAAGTACAAAAGAATGTAATATTGTAAATTAAATGAAACTTATTGATTTTATATCATATTAATAAACTCTAATATATTCAAAAATGATCAACATAAATACTTCATCACAAAAAAAGAATGTTTAATGTATTTCAAACTATTTTGCTTATTAAGAAATATCCACAAATTATTTAATTGAGATTATAAAAAATTTAGATTTAAGAATACAAGCACAATTTAATTCAACGTTTTTATTATATTTCAATCGTCTTTTGAACATTTATTTTATTTATTTTTATACTGCTTTAAAAATTTAACGTTAAGAATCAAATATCCTCTTAATTAGTAATCTTTAATTTATTTAGCCATGGACAAATGTAATTTGTGATTATGAAATTTAACCCAGTTTATATTTAAACTCGAAAATAAATTAAATGTATTCTATATTAATAAATTATTACTAATATCTTAGATATGAACTTTGTTATCCTGTTGTTGATTTATTACTTGAGCTGCCGCGAAGAAAGGAGATGGAATCTTAATATTATTATAGTTAAAATCGATTACTTTATAATGAGTTATACAATCAATTTCAACTGCCTTTAGATTTGGATTATGGTCGAAATTTAATCCCTTAACAAATATTCTTTTAGTTGGAAGTGTGGGATTGTTTGATAGTCATTGTTTTCATTTACATATCGCAGTTGAAGAATCATCTTTAAATTTCAATCTAATATATTATGATTGCATAGATTATTCTTTTGAGAAAACTCTAAAACAATAGATGTAAAACCATAAGAATACGAAAATATTTGGTATTATTGTTAAATTTTACAATCATCTTTGTAAGAAAGATTTGGATTAATTTTTATACACCAATAGAAATCTATGAGAGAAAACTTGAAAATCAAACAACCTTCGAAGTATCAAAGTTGAAAGTTAATTTTTGTGGTGACATGATAATATAATCTATAATTGGAAATGATACTGTAAAACAATCAATCATTTAAACAATCTTATCCGATACTATTAAATAAAAAGTTAATTATTAACATTTTAATTATTCTAAAGATTGCTAAACTTAAATTATATATGTACTATATTTTTTTCAATAAAAAATAATTGTATAAATTCAGTAGTTTATAT